TATCCGTCTCAGAAGGCCTTAAAAAAACAACAACAAAGAAACAAAAAACAAAAATCATCCTTCTTTTGGAAATTATTGGAGTTCATTGAGGATCCTACAATTCAATCAGGTTTGGCCTTTGACTAGGCCATTGCCATACCTTGACTCCTTCCTTTTGTGCTGTTTTTCTTTCAGATCAGCATACCCTGTCAGACCTATAGTCAATATACATGCACAAGATGTCAGATTTGTATTTATCCCTTTAGTTTTGTTTAAAAAAAAGACTTTAAACTACCTAAACGGGCATGTATACCTTTAGTCATATGCAAAAAAAAAAAAAAAACTATTTAAAGGGGAACGCTGTTTTTTTTTTTACATTGGGCCGTTGATTTTACATTATAACATCGTGTTCTACTTACCCATATAAGTTTTGTGTCATTTGGAGCCGATCTGAAGAAATTTGGATTTGTTATATCCAGCTAACATCTCCCTATGGGCAACGACTTGAAGGCACAAACTAAACTGTTCATAATTTATTCTTTATGGTATGCCAGCATTCATAACATGTAGGCGAACCACTGTCCCCCAGACATCAGTGGTGATATTTTTTATATTTTTTCTTCATGCATGGACTAGTTTCTCAGCATCACCCCTGGACAGGAGATTTCTAATTCTTGCAATATTCCGCAAATGGAAGAAGGAAATTCTAGAAACCTCTTTGAAATAGGATTTAAATGACTAACCTGACTCCGCCAGATGGATTTGCTCCGCATATCCATCTGGAAACCTTCCGTTGAAGTCATTTTGGGAAGGGGCGAAAATACTGGTTAGCTGATTGGCCTATGTTGGTGATAGACGGGCCAAATAAACCAATCAGATCAACGAAGCATATGACGTACTAACAGAGCGACGACGAAATACTTGCTCGATAGCCACGCTAACGCTAGTTTCATCGGCTGAAGCCGCCATGTTCTTTAGACTGAACTGTCACGCTTCTCGTTGCGTCACACCTCAACCCGCCTCAAAGCCAACGCTGATTGGACGTTCGTTTGGTGAACGGCTCCAAATTTTCTTTAACGGAGAGTCTCCAGACTGATTAGCGAGTGAAACCTTGAAAGCTCGCGAGATCAGGATGGTCTCACGCGGCTATACATTACCGCCATCTACTGGTAACTAAAAAAGTTATGTGTTGGTAGTTCAGGTCTTCATTTCCGGTTCTGCCATAAGGTCCATTGAATTAACAACACAAGAAAAGTTTGTCTTTGGTTTAACCATTGCAGTTAAAAAAATCCCAAAACATACCCTTTTTTCATTTCTGCAAATGCCGTTTTTCTAATTTCGTTTTAAAAACGGAATAACAAAAAACTGACTGATTAGCGAGTGAAACCTTGAAAGCTCGCGAGATCAGGATGGTCTCACGAGGCTATTAAATGACAGGTCCTGATAAAAAATAACACCGAGATTTTAATTACTTTATTATCTGACATTAGTTTAATTCCATTAAATGAGTCTTTTTCAAAGACTCTGGTCCAAATAATTTAACTTCTGTTTTTTCTGCATTCAGCAGCAGAAAGTTAAAAATCATAATCAAATATTCAAGTCTTTCTAAAAGAATATTATTATCAACTGTGTTAAATGCAACACTGAGATCTAACAGGACAAATACAGATACAAGTCAATTATGTGAGGCCATTACAATATTATTAGTGAGTTTCACCAGTGACATGTTCCCCCAAAAAATTACCTCCAAGCTCCTATGTCAAGTCTGGGGCATTCGTAAAATGTATTTATACCTGAGAGGAGATTAGAAATAGGAGAAAAATGGTAATTTGTTCCAGAAGTATTGGGCTTTATTTAAACCAAAGTCCTGCTGCTATGCTGTTTTACTCAATAAATCAAGTTTCCTTTTAGCCTGTGTCTCCAAGCTTCTGCGCAGTTTTCTGTTCTCGTACCATGGATGAGAAGATTGACACGGAAATTGAAGGAGGATTAATTCTAAAGAATGCAATCTCCTTATGCTTCAGTGGACGAGCCAGTGGACATGCTCCATCAGGATTCTGTTTCTATGAGTCTGAGCTCTAATCAGGACGTGAAGGTGAACAAATCTGCAGCCGCTCGGGATACATTAGATGGCTCTAATGGATGGATAGAGGCGATTAGCTGACATCCCTGTTTCTGCTCCTCATTAGTCCTCTTCTTTGTTAAATGTCAGAGCAGCAGAATGTCAGCCAATCGGACGTCTGGATGTCTCGCTCTCCTCTCCGGTATCGGTGTGGCTGAGCTGCTTAAAGCTTCTCTGTGTCTGCTGTTGACATGCATCAGAGAGACAATTCTCTTCTCTGTTATGGAAACTGCAGGAGGCGATTTTTCCTGTTGAAAAGTCCTGCAGCTCATCAGATCATCTTCAACTCAAAGTCAACATGAGGACACAGAAAACTGAATACCTCTGTCCAATTTGCTGTTGATTACCTGCAGCTGTGAGCTTTTAAGACTTTTAACTTTGAGATTGGGCTTAACCTGCCCTTATAATCAGAACAGCAGGTTATCTGGATCTCTGTAGCTTTGCCACCAAATGGCTCAGTTACACTGCAAAAAAGGAAAATCTATACAAGTGTAATAAACTTCAATTAAGCGTTTTGGTCTTATTACACTTGTTTTTCAATGTATTTTCTTAGTAAGACTAAATATTGTTAAGATTTTTTTACTTGTTTTAAGAAAATTCATTTTTTTCATCCTAACTAGATAATAAAACTAATTCTGAGCAGATTTTTTCTTAAAATAGCTCACATTGCGGACTGAGTCGTGTTAACATTTAGACTGTGAGTACATTTTTACTTGTTTCAAGATTATTAACCAGTTATGAACCTGTTTTAAGAACTAACCCCATCTCATTAAGATATTCCAGCTAATCAAATCTGATTGCATTCAAATTGATAGGGTTATTGAGATTGTCATTCATGATTTAGCTTTGAGATTCTGAACCTTAGCATTAGGTGATGCTTATTATAATAGAAGCTCTGCCTTAAAGGGGAACGCCGTTTTCTTTTTTTCCCCACATTTGGTCCTTGATTTTACGTTATTGCATCATGTTCTAAGAGTTTTGTGTCATTTGGAGCCGTTCTGAAGATATTCTGTTACCGGTAGGTTATATCCAAGTAACGTCTTTCTATGGGCAACGACTGAAGGCACAAACTAAACTGTTCATAATTTATCATTTATGGTACGCCAGCATTCATAATGGAATTGAACGATTCAGATTAGCTAGAATGAATAGAAGGGGTAGAGCGTAGCGATACTGCTGCATCACCATCTCTTCATTGTTTGGCCTTTTTTTTGGCGGGTGGCGGGGGGTTATTTCGCTTAATTCTGTGACATTTCTGCTAAAATATTAATTAAAAAAACGTTTTGAAGTTTTTGTCAAGTGTATTTTTCCCATACATTCACTACACCTAAATAATGAAATTAATTCTAGCTAAGAAAAACTTTAAATGAACTGGTATCAAGTACATTTGCCTTGTTTTTAAGCCTGTTGAATGCTTGTTTTGAGCAATAATTGGTTAGAGGACATTTAATTCTAAGCAATAATGACTAATAAATGAGAATAACTTGATTTAAGTTTTTTTTGGATGCTTACACCTCAAAAACGATCTAGAAATAAGTAAAAATTTCTTAAATTAAGTGTATTTATCCTTATTCTAAGTAGGTAAATGAGATAGTTTGCCAATGGAATGAGTATTTTTACTCTTAAAATAAGATAATTAGAGAACATGCACTTAAAATAAGACAATGCAATTGTATTTTCTTATTTTAAGTGTAAATTGTCTTGTTCCATTGGCAAAATGTCTCCTTTACCTCCTCAATTCAAGAACAAATGCACTTATTTTAAGAAAGAATTACTTATCTAGATTTAGATTTTTTCCAATGTACTACTTGGATATTATGTTCTTGTTTTAAGAAGTCTCATTTGCTTGCTGCACTGGCAGATTATTTTGCTTAAAATAAGCAATTATTCACTTAAAACACTGTATTTTTTTTCTTATTTTTAGAAGCCATTTTTTGTTGTGTATTGCCTCTTTTAACTATTAAATTTTCTTGTTTGTAAGATTTATGGAACTAAAAATGAAATGATCAGTTTGCTCCTTGCACTCCATTCTTTAACTGAGTCTGATTAAACCTAAAGATGTGTTTTCCTTAGTGGTGGGGAGGCACCACAGCTTCTCATCATGATGCAGCTTTGGGGTTGGTCTATGTTCTAAGTCTCTCTGCTTAGTTTACCTATAAAAATGAATCATACAAGTTTTATTTTGAAACTGTTCAGGTTCCTGCCTCTGCAACAGGGCTCTAGAACGCCTGTCCTTGAGGGCCAGTATCCTGCACCTTTTAGATCCAATGTGAGCTCATCAGCAAAGCTAATGAGGTAGTTTAGCCATTTGATTCAGTTGTGTTGGGCAACCGAAACATGTCAAAGTACCAGAAAGTGACCCTCAAGGGTTTGAGTAAGAGACCACTACTCTACAGTCACAAGTCAGGAGAGGTTATCTTCTCAGGTTTGGGCGGCTGCTGGAGATCTTGGAGCAAGTCATATGTTAACTAGTGTGACTCTAGTTCTAGTTCGAAACTTAGGAACCTCTGGTTTCGCTCAAGGTACGATAGAGGTCTTCAGATGTGATGCTTCGTCTGAAACTAAAATTATGTTCATTTTCCCTTTTACTAATAGATTTTTGAGAAAAGACAGACTTTGGATGGTTCTCTCCACATACTTTTGCTGCATATATTGGCAGATTTCATCCTACTGTAGGCTTTAGGTTGAGTTCAGCTCCACCTGAGAGTAAATGTCAATTCCATTTACAGTGGAGACTCTTCAACAGACTGGTTCAGTTTCTCCTGACAGATGGAAAGTATCCAATATCAGAAAACAACAGATTTCCTGTCCTCTGAGGTCTGTCTGTATGATAACTCCTCCCTCCGCTGTGCAAAACGCCACCCACATTACCTTAATAAAAGTCAGAGACACGCACTCTGGAATGGGCAAGGGAAACATCCTTAAGCAGCAGCAGAACACCAGTGACTGACATCTCTGACACTATCGGGTAGGTTCTTTATCATATGTAGTTGTGGGTTTGTTTAGGTGACATAAGGAACTGATTGATGCTAAATCTGATTTTTGGTTAGATGAAGGCGTTAGAGGTTATTCTAAATACCCATTCCATGAACACCCAGGACCCCATATGTATTTCTGTTTGTCTCGACTGTACAGGTGCTGGTCATAAAATTAGAATATCATGAAAAAGTAGATTGATTTCAGTAATTCCATTTAAAAAGTGAAACTTGTATATTATATTCATACATTACATACAAACTCATATATTTCAGATGTTTATTTTCTTTAATTGTGATGATTACAAATGACAACAAATGAAAATCTCAAATTCATCATATCAGAAAATTAGAATATTACTGAAGACCAATAAAAACAAAGGATTTATAGAAATGTTGGCCAACTGAAAAGTATGAACATGAAAAGTATGAGCATGTACAGCACTCAGTATTTAGTTGGGCCTCCTTTGGCCTGTATTACTGCAGCAATGCGGCGTGGCATGGAGTCGATCAGTCTGTGGCACTGCTCAGGTGTTATGATAGCCCAGGTTGCTCTAATAGTGGCTTTTAGCTCTTCTGAATTGTTGGGTCTGGTGTATTGCATCTTCTTCTTCACAATACCCCATAGATTTTCTATGGGGTTAAGGTCAGGAGAGTTTGCTGGCCAATTAAGAACAGGGATACCATGGTCCTTCAACCAGGTACTGGTAGCTTTGGCACTGTGTGCAGGTGCCAAGTCCTGTTGGAAAATGAAATCTGCATCTCCAAAAAGTTGGTCAGCTGCAGGAAGCATGAAGTGCTCTAAAACTTCCTGGTATGTGGCTGCGTTGACCCTGGACCTCAGAAAACACAATGGACCAACACCAGCAGATGACATGGCACCCCAAACCATCACTGACTGTGGAAACTTTACACTGGACTTCAAGCAACGTGGATGAAGTGCCTCTCTTCTTTTCCTCCAGACTCTGGGACCTTGATTTCCAAAGGAAATGCAAAATTTACTTTCATCAGAGAACATGACTTTGGACCATTCACCAGCAGTCCAGTCCTGTTTCTCTTTAGCCCAGGCAAGACGCTTCTGACGCTGTCTGTGGTTCAAGAGTGGCTTGACACAAGGAATGCGACAGCAGAAACCCATGTCTTTCATACGTCTGTGTGTGGTGGTTCTTGAAGCACTCACTCCAGCTGCAGTCCACTCTTTGTGAATCTCCCCCACATTTTTGAATGGGTTTTGTTTCACAATCCTCTCCAGGGTGCGGTTATCTCTCTTGCTTGTACACTTTTTTCGACCACATCTTTTCCTTCCCTTCGCCTCTCTATTAATGTGCTTGGACACTGAGCTCTGTGAACAGCCAGCCTCTTTAGCGATGACCTTTTGTGTCTTGCCCTTCTTGTGCAAGGTGTCGATGGTCGTCTTTTGGACAACTGTCAAGTCAGCAGTCTTCCCCATGATTGTGTAGCCTATAGAACTAGACTGAAAGACCATTTAAAGGCTTTTGCAGGTGGTTTGAGTTAATTAGCTGATTAGAGTGTGGCACCAGGGGCCATCAATTTTGAACCTTTTCACAATATTCTAATTTTCTGATATGATGAATTTGAGATTTTCATTTGTTGTCATTTGTAATCATCAAAATTAAACAAAATAAACATCTGAAATATATGAGTTTGTATGTAATGTATAATATACAAGTTTCACTTTTTAAATGGAATTACTGAAATCAATCTACTTTTTCATGATATTCTAATTTTATGACCAGCACCTGTATTTGTCTTCGACTGCCTTTACATTATCTGCATTCCATATTCACCTTATTTATTTGTCATGAAATGTCCCATGCAGTATTCCTCATTAAATATATGTAGCATCTGTTCAGGTGTCCAGAAAGCCTCTAGTCAAATATTAAAATGTTACAGATCTATTTTATTTAGTCTCTGACTTCCTGTCTGGCTGCTTTGGTTTGTAGAAACTGACACTTTTTTCTCTGTCATCTGTCAAAAATGAATTTCAAATGGGAGACAGAGGGGAGATGTTATGCCACAGTGCCACCAAGGTGGTGGGAATTTCCCATTTAAATTATAATGGCTTCTAATTGCCATTGGATTGAGGGCGCATGGATGACGGGACCTGTGGGAATGAGGGGTTAGGTTACCTTTCAATGTCTTCCCTCTTGTTGTGTTTCCTGTTGATTATCTGTGCTTTTTTTGTATCGTTTACATAGATTAGCCAGGTTCGGGTAACCAGGTCCAGTCCGTACTTCAGTGATGTTTGTCTCTCGCTGTCTTCGTCTGGTCCTGCGTGACGTCTTCTCCCAGTCATGCCTACACCAGTTCCTGCTGGAGTTTGTAGGCACAGCCCTCTTCCTGTCTGCCAGCCTATCAACTATGCTCATAAGAGGTGACAAGAGGTCGACGGGTGGTTTGACCAATCAGACCCGTCCCTCTGAAGGTCCTCCTACCTCTGGACTAGTGACATCCTCACCAGTGTGTCCCCTGCAGGTAGTACTGGTCTTTGGTCTCTCTGTGTCCATGGCGGCACTGTCTGTCGGCGGGGGAGTCCACTTGAACCCTGCTGTTTCATTAGCAATGGCACTGACGCTGAGGCTCCGCCTCTGGAGGGCAGTGCTGTACATGGTGGGTCAGCTGCTGGGGGGCGTGGCCTCTGCCGCACTGCTGCTCGGACTGACGGGAGACGTGACTCCTGCTATGAACCAGGTGAGTGTTTCTCTGACCTTTTGACAGACTGGCATAGTTGAGCTTTCCATCTGACTCCACTGCCTGCGTTCAGGTGTCCTCTGGCGTGCGGCTACACCAGGCGTTCACCGTGGAAGTGCTCATAACCCTCCAACTGGTACTGGTTGTCATGGTAACTGCTGAAGTCCCTCTGCCGGTAGGGGCCACACCACTGTTGGTTGGTCTGACTGTTAGTCTGGGTCACTTGGTGGCTGTAAGTCCTACCCGTGTTTCTGATGGTCTTCTATGGTCACAAAGAGACAACAACCATGTTTCCTGTCCGTTTTTTTCCCCCAGGTCGGCGCCACAGGTTGTGGGATGAACCCAGCTCGGTCTTTTGGTCCTGCTGCTGTAACACTCAACTTCAAGGACCACTGGGTTAGAGTACACTCATAACGACACACACACACCTGCACATCCTCTCTAACTTAGCCTGATCACTGATCACCTCTGCTGCAGGTGTTCTGGGCGGGGCCTATTCTTGGTGCATGTGTTGCCGCACTGGTGGAGAGAGCTAAAACAGCTTTATGTACTGACAGACAAAGAGCAGCAGGGGGTGCTCTCACAGCTTCCGTAACACATCTGAGAAGAGAGATAATTAATGCCTTACATCCACCTTAAATGATATTGTTTATCATTCATTGCCATGATAACAATGTCATGTCCATATTATTCATGCAAATATATATATATATATATATATATATATATATATATATATATATATATATATATATATATATATATATATATATATATATATATATATATATATATATGTATATTTATATATAAAATGGGAGCAAATGTTTTGAATAACCTCTGATATAGCGAATGTTTACCTCAAATCTCTGAGCAGGTGTTGTAAAAAAGTTTGTGCAACTTGCCTGAATGCAACATATTCATTAAAACCTCAGTCCATCACTGATCTGTGGTCTGTGCTAGCTTGCTAACTCTACTTCACTGCAAAAACGATCTAGAAATAAGTAAAAAATTTCTTAAATTGAGTGTATTCACCCTTAATTTGAGCAGGTAAATGAGAAAGTTTGCCAATGGAATGAGTAATTTTACTCTTAAAATAAGACAATTAGATAATATGCACTTGAAATAAGACAGTGCAATTGTGTTTTCTTATTTTAAGTGTAAGTTGTCTTGTTCCATTGGCAAAATGTCTCTTTTACCTCCTCAATCCAAGAACAAATGCACTTATTTTAAGAAAAAATGACTTATCTAGATTCAGATTTTTTGCAGTGTTCCTGTTAAGTACAACCAAGCATAACATTAACATTTGATGACATTAAGCTTTGTAATGGAAAATTGCCTAATGTGAATTTACTATGAAACCTAGATATAAAATGTATTAATCCCATATGATTCAAAAACTGAATATACAATGAAACAGTAAAATTGACAATAGTTAAATGTCCCATTTGATTTATTTCAATTTGTGAACTACATCATAAAGTATAATTTTATGATGTATTTCATCCTAAAGAATCTATTTATAATTTATATTCATTTTACATGTCCAAACTGATATAGAATATAATAGGTATATGTAAAACTTTCAACTTAATTAATGAGGTTATGTCTTACTATTATCAATAATTATATTATAAACGAGAAAAATATGTTGCAGTACTTAAAGAGGGGACATCAGAGAGTTGGTTGGTTCTATAGCTACCAGTTTAATACACTGGTAATACCAGCTATACCTCAAAACCATAAAACACTTAAGAAATTTGGCATGAGGGAAGACAAAACTGAAAGGACAGTGAAGTGTCCAAATCCCATAGCTTGACTTTAATTTCACTGAGCTGAACTCTGCTGATCAGCCAACCCAGTCTGACAGCTGGTCAACTGCATCAATCTGCAGTAATGATAGAGTTAGAAAAGGTGTTAAGCAGGCAGAGGAGAGACAGGTATGTTTGCAGGTACTGTCATCAACTATGCCCTTAACTCCAGAACAAATGTCAATAACTGGAACTTGGTTCTCTGAATTTATCCCTATTCAAGCCTTTTTTTTTTTTTAGCTCAAACAGCAGCCATATCCGCGGGGGGTGCAAAATGAGTACACAACACAGCCGTTTACAACTTTATCCAACAAAACACATTCTTGCCATCCAAGAATAACAGTATTTTTCTAGCAAGACCTTTTAACAATTTGTTGATACTCATATTTAAATGTCAAATCATTCTGGCTTAAACATATATAAATTTACTCTTTATCAAACCATATTGTCCCAAAAGTTAGACAATTTCTGTTTAAAAAAAAATCCTGTCCTAAAATCTGTGGGGGGGTTTTCTTCGTTATCTTATGCAGGCCAGTTAGTTCTACGTCAGCTTGTACACCTAAATTCGGCCAATCATATATCAACGGTCATCTGTCAATCAAATTTTTTTTCGGTCATTGCATCTTGATTCATATGTCACAGCTAATATACGCAACGGTTGAAATAAGAATAATTTCCTTTACTGTTTAGTTCCGTCCTAATGAACGTCTGTGTCTTCGGCAGGCGTAGAGCTAACAGAACTGGCAGCGTTGCGAGGCAAGGGCTCAAACATGTACGGCTGGAAGCCTTCTACACCAAACCAAGCTTCTGCCGCCCTGGCGTCCTCTTCCACAACATCTTCGTCCCCGCTTTCCTCCTCTAAATAAAAAATGGATGACGGAGGAGACTCATCCACCTCCTCCTCTTGCATGTTTCCTCTGTCCATAGCGTTCCTTGACAGCGTCGTTTCTAAGTCACCAATTTAGTGCTACTTGGTCCCAATGGAATTTCCCATTGGGAACCTGCTAGCACTAAGTTGCTAACTGGTTAGCAAGATGCTTCCGACAAACCGGCCACAAACAAACTTGCTTGTGAACCTTCTGGCACAACAATCCCTTTCCTCGATAAACGACCAATCACATTCACTTTGTTCACTTGTGTAAAGTCGGGCACCACTCCAGAGAATTCGGAAATGCAACAGTTGGAACAGCCATTTCCCTACAGCTTTAAGCACTAAATCTTAACATTTCTTTGGATGTCTATATATCAATATTTTATTAGATGAAAATCTCAGTTGTCGAAGCATATGTTGTTTTATAAGGTACCAAGGGGTGGAGCTAGAGGTAAAGCCAAGGATGGCCAATAATTGGCCACCCTCTGTGGCCATCCCTATCAGGAGATTTGTCTCCATGTTTCCATAATTGATCACCTCTGCAACAAATGTTCCAAACTAAAACAGAGAATTGCAGTAGTGATTCCTTGAAGTGGAATGTTCAAACTATTTTTAATATTAGTATAACCATACACTTCAAACAAAAGTAGAATAGCTAATTGCTTACATCAATATACCAACATCAAATATAATATATAGAATTGATTCTATTTAAGAACTAGTCTTTATGTACTATGGGGAAGAATCCATTCATCTTGGAATGACCTGTGTTAGATAAGGTGAATCACTAACATGAAAGCATAAATGAATGAAGGTATTATGGAAAAATCTTTCCAAAAATGCAGGTAAGAAATGTCCAAGTTCCATTCTGTACCACATTGGTGAAACAATATCTGTTACTTTTTTTTTTATTTCGCTCTTCTAGGGCCTTCCTCTTTTTCCTCATAAACTGTTAAAACAACATGCTGCAACATAAGCCATTTTCAAAGTATATAATGAGAGTAGCTAAGCTACAATGAAAGGCTAAAACCAAAATTAACACAAAAAAATACAATGAGTGTGCTGTCATGTGGGACAACGAGTAGAGAGGAAGAACTTAAAGCTGAAAGAATAGTATCCTTTATGGCTTCAGTAAAGACATCATGGATGTGTAAGTATGTGTACATTCAGTGATTAATTTGGTAAATATAAATGTTTTGGTGGTTCATTTTCCTGTTTGTACCGTGTGAATTGACCCCTCAGTGTGGGTCTGCCGCTGTCGGGCCAGCCCCTATTTAAAAAGTACTTATTGTTCTTGAAGCTGCATGTCACCAATAATGTGAGGAACCCTTAACCCTTTCTAGGGAACTCAGTGAAATACTTTGAAAATCAAAATTTCAAGCCAATAGTGTTATTGGAATCCAGGTCAGGACCTTGTTACCTGTGTAGAATAAAAAAATATGGATATTTTGATGCCAATTAAGGGTAAGGGGTATGCAAGTGCTCTATAAAGGGTTAAACTGCTTGTTTGACAAAACAACACAAAGCAGAAGCTAAAAATTGGATTAAAAACATGTGCAAGGAGTCCCTGTGGCTACAGCATCTGAGAAGTATAAACACTCAGTGGGGAAGTTTAATTCCCAGAATCTGCTTGAACTAAGTGCTAGTGGAGCACTGGCAGATAAGCAGGCTTGTAGTTGTATTTTTCTATCAACAGGAAACAGCAGCTCCAAAGTGTTAAACCCACACCACCGGCTGTCAGTCACACATCAAGATACATACTCGCTCACTTACACACACACACACACACACAGAAAAACACTTGGAGTGGCATTCATTAGGAGCGTTGAAACATTTCAGCCATAGTCCTCAGACAGAGATAGATAGCTCAGATGTGTGTGTTCAGGTGTGTGTGTGTGCTGCTGTGTGTCGCTGTCAGTGTGTGTCTAAACCTGCGGGAAGAGCCTGTGGTGTTCAGTGGACCAACAGGAAGTTTGTTTGGATTCTCCATCGACTTTCACCCTGTCAACAATACGTAAGTTCATCATGTTACATAACATTCTTCTGATGTCTTTGGTAGGAAAATTTAAATTTCATGTAAAATGACCTTTTCTGAATTTCTCCCTTGAATTTCTAAATGTTGTTGCCTTAAAGCAACGTACATGAATGTACTTTATAAAGGTTTTTTTTAACCTAATTTTTGTCCTTTCTTAATCATTTACATGACGTTAGTGCTCCATCACAGATCTTAAAGGAATAGTACACCCAAAACATGATTAGCCTTCATTTTCTACTCACCCCCATGCTGAACAACACTCTGGAGTACTTTTTTGATATCTCAAATGCATCTGGAGATCTGGGAGGCTTCTTGCCGTCTGCTGACATTCAAATAATGGAGGTCTATGGCGCCCGAGGCAGAAAGGTCCATAAAAGTCCACAAAAAACGTGTCAATATTCCTCCATACTGCTCGTCCAATGTATTCCAAGTGTCCTGAGTGGGTAGCGTCCATAATTTACTCGAAACGAAGTCATTTAGAATGTTTTTTTCTACGGAAACCGCGGCAGACCAAACCAGATGAAAGTGCGCATTCAGCTCGGCAAAGAAGCGTAGCGTCGTGAATGCGCTTTCAGGAAATCCTATACTCTACTGTTTATGCTCTAAAAACATTCTAAATGACTTCGTTTCGAGTAAATTCTGGACGCTACCCACTCAGGACACTTGGAATACATTGGACGAGCAGTATGGAGGAATATTGACACGTTTTTTGTGGACTTTTATGGACCTTTCTGCCTCGGGCGCCATAGACCTCCATTATTTGAATGTCAGCAGACAGCAAGAAGCCTCCCAGATCTGCAGATGCATTTGAGATATCAAAAAAGTACTCCAGAGTGTTGTTCAGCATGGGGGTGAGTAGAAAATGAAGGCTAATCATGTTTTGGGTGTACTATTCCTTTAAGAGGTTTGCACACGTAGGATTTTGTTGTTGGTCACTTTTTTTTTTTTTACATTTTTCGTTGGCATTGTCAGTTCAACTATAGCTCTGGTGAATTTCAAAGAATCCAAAGAACATACATCTGTTGATATTTTATATAAAAATGAGCAGAAATTCCTCCAGGTGCAGAACAGCATCTCATTTATACTGTTGGCATGGTAACCCTATGAAAGGAGTGGATCCTTCTTGGACTTTGATTACTGTGTGGGATGAAGAGAAAATCCTGTGTGCAAGTCTTTGGCACTCACACAGAGGTTTGAGGTTTTCTCTGCCATTGCAAGAAAAGCTTAGAAGACGATCAGATCTTTCGGGTTCTTCAGGTTCTTTGTTGTCATTGGAGCTCCCAAAGCCAACACCAGCCAGCCAGGGGTGACAGAGGGAGGGGGTGTGTTTCTGTGTACCTGGTCACCTAGAGCGGCCTGTGACATCATTGACTTTGACCTGAAGGGTAAGTTTCTCATTTGTCTGCTAAGAACATTTGTTTCTCTAGTGGATTTTTTCCCAGAAATGAACAACTTATACTGATACTTTACAACTGATACTATGAGCCTACCTGTCCTACTCTACTGTATGTCTCTCTGGGACACCTGTTTCACTCTCCTGTTCATCTCACTCTTACACTTTTAACACTTCTACCCATCTCACTCATACATCTGTCTCACCCTAAAACCCGTGTCACCTATGAAGGTTATTTTGTTTCGAAACTATTTGTGCATTGTAAGTGTGATTTTGAAGTTGTAGAGAGAGTTACATTATAAGTTCTGTATTTGTAGAATTGAAAAAAAAGTATTCACAAGTACAAATTTGTTTGTTACACCTGTTCAAATTGTAAGTACAGGTACACAAATTCTGTTCTACAAGTTGCACATCAAAAGCCTCTTACATTCTCAGTTTTGCTTTAAATGGTCCAGAACTATTGTTGCAAAACTATTTGTGCATTGTAACTTTGGTGTTTTTTAATTGTAGATTTTTTTAAATCTGTCACAATTACAAAAGTGTTACACCCCTTTATATTTTTGAGTACAAGTACACAAATTGTGTTTTCTCAGTTGCACATAAAAAATGTCTTCCGTTCATTTTTGCTAAAGTTGATCTAAAAGAGATGGTGCGAAACAAATTCAAACACATGTATTAAAATCTTAAAAAAAAAGATTATATATATATATATATATATATATATATATATATATATATATATATATATATATATATATATATATATATATATTAGGGGTGGAATGGTTCACAAAATCCACGGTTCGGTTCGGTTCAAGGTTTCATGATCCCGATTTTCGGTTCAGTTCGGTATATGTTGATTGTTAGCCTGACATGTTAGTCGTGTTGCTGTTAGCATAAACAAAACGTGTTGCACAATGCTTGCACACTGTTTTTATCCACCACTTTCTTTCCGCCGCCATCGTAGGTCACTCTAAATGCAAAGCGCTCCCATACAGCAGACCTATAAAGTGCTGCTGGCGCGTCTTCCAACTCCTGTTCTTTCCCACTCGCCATACCCACACAATTCTCCACAACAACTGATTTTTTTCTGCTACACCCGGCTACGCTGCTTCGCTTCTTCTTCTTCTTGTTTACTACTGGTGGTTGGCTTTGGTCGCAGTACCGCCACCTTCTGCTCTGGAGTGTAAACGCTTCGCCTATGAGAAAAAGGAGCAGCGCATGAACCGAACGTAACACACGCGAACCGAACCGAACGGTTCAGACGGTTTTTATAAAAAGTTCCATCCCTAATATATATATGTATATTTTTTTTCTTAACACAAATCAGTGAATACAACTGTGTGAATCTGCTGTTGTGAGTCAGAAATTCAACTTTAAAAGTTACACCTCCATTTTCACTTTTGACAAAAATATCAAGAACTTTGAAGCAATTAAAGCTCTCAGAATTTCTAAAATGCTTGCGAGAGAATATTCACACAATTTCTTCAATAGTAGAGAATCAATGAGAGTTGAGAATCAATGAGGAAGCAGAAGTCCAGGCCAGAAGATCAGAGATCCAAAGACATACCCAAGGGAAATCAAAGCCGGGGTCAGGAGAGAGATCCAAGGTCATTAGCAGGCAGAATCCAATGGAAGTCCGAAGACAGGTCAGGCAAAACAGATCAGCACAGGGGCAGGCAAACTCAGAAGTCCAGGAGCAAAAACAATTCAGGACCAGAAACACACTGGGTATGCTAGAGAACTCTCACCCACGGCTCGAATAATCTGGCACTGATGGCTGGGACCAAGCAGTTTAAACTAGAAAAGGAGGATCTGATTGTGAAAATGAAAACTGGGCAGAGCTAAGCAGGTGGAAGAAATAAACCAATAATCAAATAATTCATCAGTGCCAAGATCATGATAACATCTGCCTAACTTTCTTACCTTTGTCTTGATGAGACCTGCTTCACAGCCACATCTGTCTCACTCTCTTGTTGTAACGGTGAGTCGAAGCAATCAAACGGTATTTCATTAGATAGAAAACTTAAAATCAATTTCACTGTATGATCTGGTAAACTTTAAAGTGCCTTGAGATGACATGTCTTGTGAATTGGCGCTTTATAAATAAACTGAATCAAACTGAATTAACAGGTGACGAGGAACACAGCAGCTCAGATCTCAGCTTTCACTCCTTTAAGAGCAGACAATGGTTCGGAGCTTCTGTCCGCTCAGTCAGCGGGACACACCTGTTGGTGAGAGCACAGCAGAACATGACTGGAACTTTAGTCTCATCCAGATTCTGTTTTGTTAGTCAAATGAAGTAGTGACCCAGTGTGTGTTCCTCCACCTCCAGGCCTGTGCACCACTCTTTCATTGGAACGTCAAAAGGAGAGGGGCGGAGTCAGGGAAAACCCCTGTGGGTAATTGTCTCCTATTGGACCACGCAAGCAGGGTCTTGACATCTTTCTCTCCCTGCAGAGGAATCTTGATGGATGCTGACTACACGGTTATAAAGAACAGTAAGAAAAACAAAGATCTGGATGGAAAATCTTAAACCCCCTCAAACTTTAAGTCCTTGTTTTGTTTTCTAGGAAACGATCAGCGTTACTGTGAGGTGGGCTTCAGTGCTGACATAACCAAGGTGAAGTGGGGTGTGCAGAGCCACTGTTGTTGTTGTGACATTAGCACAGTCCTGTTTGCAATCTAGATACAGTCCTCAGGTCCTCTTGTCATCCATTATATAGGTCAGTCAGAGTTATTCATTTGTTCCGCAGGATTTTTGGAGTTTCCTAGCTGAAGTATTAAGGATGGTTTATGCTCAGAAATCAGGTTGTCTGTGTGTGTGTCGCAGTTAACGCAGATATCCGCAGACAGGAGGCCCCTGATTGGTCAAATCTGCATCCGTTCTACACTATGTGTATTTCCTGTTTGGTACCTTACCGGCGTATTTTGTTGGTATGACCGCCATTGTGGAAAAATGGCTCGTGAAGATGGAGCAGCTAGAAGAGCGAGGTGCGCAAGAGAGCTGGGACCCTTTTTCCACCTGCATCCCCACTCTTTTTCGCCCTCATGTCCCTCAGTTGTCGCACAAACTTGCCCCAACTTCTTCACCACCTCGGCCGTATCTAGACCGACAGCTAGTTTGTGATTGTCCCTCTTGTTTTGTAGTGTGGAATAACATAGCGCAGACCGCGCTTCAAAATTGGACATAAATCTAAAATATTTGCGTCATAGCTGTGACAAGCTAGCCTCGTGAGACCATCCTGATCTCGCGAGCTTTCAAGGTTTCACTTGCAGATCAGTCTGGAGACTCTCCGTTAAAGAAAATTTGGAGCCGTTCACCAAACGAACGTCCAATCAGCGTTGGCTTTGAGGCGGGTTGAGGTGTGACGCAACGAGAAGCGCGACAGTTCAGTCTAAAGAACATGGCGGCTTCAGCCGATGAAACTAGCGTTAGCGTGGCTATCGAGCAAGTTTTATTGGAATTACAGAGTATTTCTTCACTGAAAGAAGAGCAAAGCACTGCTCTGGAGGCTTTTCTCAGAGGAAAATATGTTTTTGCTCTTCTCCCGACTGTTTTCAGCAAGAGTAGCCTGGCTTGTGGTTGTGTTTTCGTCGTCGCTCTGTTAGTACGTCATATGCTTCGTTGATCTGATTGGTTTATTTGGCCCGTCTATCACCAACATAGGCCAATCAGCTAACCAGTATTTTCGCCCCTTCCCAAAATTACTTCAACGGAAGGTTTCCAGATGGATATGTGGAGGTTTTTAAAAGGCTTTCATAAATGCGAATTGAGTCGCAGAAAAACTCTGGCTCCCATGAATAAAACTGAAGCGAGCAGAGGCGTGGCGCAGCCGATTTTAGAGTTACTGTTGGAAGAACACACCAAGAGTTGGCCTCAGTGTTAATTTTAGAAGGCATGTTAAATCCAGTTACCCTATGTTTTCCCAATAAACTGAAGGTTTAAATTACTTTTAAATTAGTTTGACATAGTAAATTCCCATACTTTAGGTCTTGGTTCTTTCTGTCTGTTCCTATTCAGAGGTCAATGATGTAAAAAAAAAACAAAAAACTTGAAATTGTGCCCTAAGTTATAACTTTGAAATGTCTTAAGTTTGTAAATAAAATAATTAAACAAAAAGGTTTAGAATTTTTTTCAAATGGCAACATGGGGCCCTGTTCCTGCAGTGGGGTGCCCCTTAAAAACTAGGAAGAAAAAAGGACGGATCTAGACTTAAAATAGAACTGTATGTGTCCTGGTTTATCTAACTTACATTCTGTGTTGTAGGCTGATCGGCTGGTGCTCGGAGCTCCAGGAAGCTTTTACTTCCAGGGTGAGAGAGACCCCTGCTGGTCACTGATTGTACTAGCAGAGCTACAATAAGTGAATGAGAGACAATGGAGCTAAAACTTTATTTTGTTTAATTTGGGAAAGTTAAATATAATAAGAGTTAAATATAATAAATACTGTTAATTCGCAACTTTATTTGAAATGGCTGATTTCCTACTCAGAAACAGATGAATCAACTCCACATTAAAAAGATAACCAAGATGCATAGATCCAGTTGGAAAAAAAACCTACAATAATAAAATAATAATTAAGTATAACTGATAGCTTTAAATGGCTTTAATGCCTGTTCTTTTCTGGCATTTTGAATAAGGATGTGCATAAATATTGAACCTGTCAGATCCCTACAGTAACCAGCGCCATACTTGCATGGCATCATTGCTGATTTCAGGTCAGGTGATCACAGTGGGTCTCAGGGACATCATCGACAGCCAACAAAGCAATGAACCCATTCAGTACGTAACAGGAAGCCACCAATCAGAGGAGCAGGGAGGTTACGACCTTTACCGTGGTGAGTGAAGCACTATGCTGATATCAACTGAAAGAAGAGCTTTTATTTTGCAATGATTTACACAGGGCATTTTATTTTGAAAGATACATATCTCTTATTGACAAAGCTTATAACCCTGCTGGTATAGATTAGACTAATGTTTTGATATGAATGAGATTTATACCCTAACCACATTTTATTTTTATTTTTATTTTACTGTATTGACACAAAGCTTCCATCTAAAGGTGAAGAATTAAAGGAGAGTTCAGAATCTATAGCATATTTTTCTAGACAAGCCGTAGCAGAGCACAAATAATTATCTTTAAAAAAAAAGCAATGTCTTCACTGGTCTTTATAATGCAGTAATGTTAAAGCAAAGTAGAGATGTGATGGCCAGAAAGTTCTTTATCATCATTTGCTTAGTGGGTTATGGTGGTTTAATCAGACTCAATGTTAGTGGATTTCGAAATGTGTCATTTTGCCAGGTTACTCTGTGGCTAGCGGTATGTTGACTGGCGACTCTACACCAGGTAGGACATTTTTGATCTAATCTAATCTAATCCCATCGGATCTGATCTAATGAAACATTGTGTTTCTTTGCATTAGATTATGTGGTTGGTGTTCCACATGACAGGAACTCTGCAGGAACAGTAAGGATTTCCTGTATTGTTTGGCTTGTGCCGGTAGGGATAAGCAAAGAGGAGGCTTAGTGAGACTCCAATGTTGGTCTGTTCTACCAGGTGAGAATCTATGATGGAAGAATGGGCGGTTCTCTGAGAGTTTACCACACCTTTCTAGGAGCTCAGGTAAAAATGCACACTACTATGTTTAGATGTAAATGATCTAGTGTGGATGTGAGGTATCTCCTTCGCCTGCCAGGTGGCTTCCTACTTTGGACACAGCCTAGCCGTAGCCGACTTCAACGGCGATGGGTGAGAACGAGCACACACTTTAAACACTTAGGACGGATTCACTGTGTTCTCTGTAAAGATATAGGCTTAATATATTTTCTTTTCCATCACCTTGTGTCTCTGAATATGATTGTTGGGTTCTGTGTTTTTTTTGGCGTATCCCTGCGGTTGCTGCAGTCTGGAGGATGTCCTTATTGGAGCTCCACTCTTCATGGACAGAGTGATGGAGCAGTTGCAGGAGAGAGGACAGGTCTGGACACATAATCCATCTCTTCTTCCATTCTGACTTTTAGTGTGATTTCAGATTTTTGTATTGACTACTAATTCATTATAATTTCCATTTTCAAAAATGTTGGTTTATACATACATTTTCTATCATGCTTATCTCAAGTGGGGTCGCAAGGGGTGCTGGTGCCTATCTCTAGCTGTCTACTGGTGAGAGGTGGGGTACACCCTGGACAGGTCACCAGTCTATCTCAGGGCAAGACAAAGACAACCAGGATGGACAACCATTCATGCACACACTCACTTCTCTTCTTCCAATTAACGAATATGAATATGTCAGCCCTAAAAATATCCGTCTATTGGACCATCCGTCTGACCATCCATCTTTCCATCCATCCATCCATTCGTCCAAACAATCAACTGGTTCAGGAGGGATTATCTAAAGACTCCTTTCTCCAATTGCTGCATCTGGTTCATTCTAAAAAAAAATTCAGCTAGTATCTTCACTTTGTGCCCAGACCTCGTCGACAGATTCTGTTTAATTGAAAGTAAAGTGGCTCTAATCTGAGCTTCCCGAGGTGATCCAGGATCTAATTCGTTATCACATCACCTTTGGTATAAGTTGGGATGCAGGTTGATCAATAAATCGAGAGTTTGTGCTTTTTGGCTCAGATCTTTATTGCCATCTCAGACCAAAACGGGGGCCATATTACAACAAGTAAAGCACCTACTACTATCTCAATCCATCCAGACATCATTCATGCACAATGTACCAAGATACTTACCCTGAGTGAGTAGTCCACCTTAAGGTTGAAAACAACTAAGACTTAGAGGAGCTAACTCTCTTTCTGGCAACATTACATGGAACAGAAATACATAATCCGGAAAAGTTGTTCATCTATAGCTGAAAAAGTAGCTGAAATTCCTGTGCATATGAAGAAAATAAAGCTCTTTGTGGTGGCGAGTGCAATCTGGTATGTCAGCTATACACACCCATTATTGCTCCTTTTTAAACAGACTTTCAATGTGCCCAAAGCTAGGTTATGTTGCCCATATATTATGGGTTCCCAGGGGAGGATAAAAATAGTCAATTCAGTTGATTTATATAGCGCCATTTCACAACATATATTCTCAAGGCACCTTACAGAGCCAATTCCACCAGCTCATACAGTAGGAGATGTTCAACATTTTCTATTTAAGGAAACCCAGTTGATTGCACCCATTAATTGACTCAAATGCAATCCCATACACCAAGCATGCTTGTGACGACAGTGGAGAGGAAAAACTCCCTTTTACCAGGAAGAAACCTCCAGCAGAATCGGTATTAGTGGCCATCTGCCGAGGCCAACAGGGGTTCAAGGAGATAGAAGTAGACATAGAAAAAGAACCAGTGACACAAAACACAACTGTCAACCAGCTCCACAGGCGGCCCCATCCAGGAAATTCACAGCCAGTCAGAGGATGAAAGAGAGCACATCCAGTTATGGTCAGAGAACCAGGACTACACTGAAAAACAGGCCAAGCTACAACTTCCACAAATAAAGGTGTTTTTTTTTTTTTCAGAGGAAATGAACATAGAGCATGAAGAATGAATGAGCATGTTTCTGTGTTCAGGTGCTTTTATACCTGCAGAGGAAGCAAGCTACCTTCCCCTCCCTGCCAGACCAGTCACTGATTGGTCGGTCTCTTTATGGCAGGTTTGGCTCTGCCCTTACTGTGCTAGGTGACCTGGACATGGATGGTTACCAAGGTAGCCAGATATCCTCACTCTCTGCATCAGTAACCATTTTTCTGCAGGTTATTAATCTAAGGTTATCTCACTCTGTTCAGATGTTGCTGTTGGGGCTCCATGGTCAGGTGATGGTAAGAGGGGGCAGGTGTTTATTTACCTGGGGAACAGGAATGGTCTGTCAGCCATACCCTCACAGGTGATTGAAAGCCCATTGCTTAGCAGCGGATCAGCATTTGGATTTTCCCTAAGGTCAGGTGGTGACCTTGATGGGAATGGATACCCAGGTTTGTTCAGGAACTCAAGTTCTTTAATGAATAATCACAAATCAATAACCAGAGGCTGTCTGTTTCCTGGATTTGTAGATCTGCTAGTTGGTGCGTGGGGTGCAGATCGAGCCTTTCTCTACAGGTGAGGCGCGACCAACAGTTTGAATCTAAAAGGAGCTTCATTTTTTTGGATTTTTAGGCAGCTGAAACCTAAAAATTAATACTTTTATTTAAGGAGCTAATATAATTGATCCTGCTTTGCAAATTTGAAATCAGGAAAATTTGTTATTGAGTAATTCAACTTGGCCACATATTGTTAATTGTAAAATTCTGATGGCTTTCTAAAAGCTTGGTTTATAAAAGATTTGACTTAGATTCACAGCTTGATTGATCTTGAAAATTGTTGTGAACAATATATTTTTTGATATTAATACCTTTGTATGTTATTCTACTAGTAGTAGTCATCTTCCACTTTGATTGGGACCGAGTCATGGGGGCAGCAGTCTCAGTAGAGACTCCCAGCCTTCTCTCTTCTTTGACTCCTCCTCCAGCTGTTCTGGGAAAAACCTAGAAAAGGTGCTCCTTGGGGAACCAAGTTTCTCCATTGTGTCCTGCATCATGACATGGGTTTCCTTCTGGAGGGATATGCCTGGAATAGCTTCCACAGATGGTATCCAAGGGTCATCCAAAAAATATGTCCAAGGCACATCAGCTGACAACTCTCAATGTGGAGGAGCTGTTCTACTCCAAGCTTCTCCTGGGGGACCAGGAGTGGGAGTGCCATGTCACCCCACAAAGGAAGCCTGTTTGTATCTGGGATCTTGTTTTTCTGGTCATAATCCAGATTTCATGACCATAGATTATGGTAGAAACTTAAACTGGTAAATCTAGAGCTTTGTTATTTCACTCAGCTCTCTCTTCACCACAACAGACCAGTGCAGGGTTTTAATTATAGCAGAAGCCACACCAATGGATCTAACAATTTCCCACACCATACTCCCCTCAGTTGTGACCACAAGATACTTGGGGTGACTGAATTTGATCAGGACCCCTTCTCCACTGTGGATGGACAAGCCACTTTCTCCAGTCAAGAACAGGTTCAACTTACCTCTGGAAATGCGGACCAAAATTCTCCTTGACTTGTACAGACACCAGATGGCCCTTAATAAAGGGCCACAAACTCTATGCTCCTTCAGTGTCCCCGACAGGGCACCATGTGAGACATGGTTGGATGTCACCCAGATTCTTCAGGTCCACAAAACACATGTAGACCAACAGGGCAAAGATACACCCTCGAGAACCCTGCAGAATGTGTAGAGCTGGTCTGACACTCCTCTCCAGCACCCTGGCATAGGCCTTTGGGGAAGCTGGGAAGTGTGATCCCCTATAGTTGGATCACACCCTCCAGTCTAGTCCCTCGTCTTATGCAGGGGAACCACCACCCCAGTCTGCTTGTCTAGAGGCAGTGTGTCATGAACAGAAAGAACACAGTATTCAAGGCAAGACAGACAGTGGGATAATTCAAAGCATTTATTTTTAAAATGCAGAAGCTGAACTGCAGTGGCGGCTGGGCACTCTGGTAGGAGGAAAAAACTGGTAGGTGACCATGATAAACTGACAGAGGATGATTACCTGTGTGAGTCACTTACCTGGTTTATCAATTCAGTCTATCTCCATAGAACGCGGTAGGACTGACAGTTAGATGTGGCGGGTGCCGCCCAGTGTAAACCAGATGCTGCAGTCCCAGAGGGCAAGCAGGAGTCTGAGCCAGGTTGGGGAAACAGATAAGAAATGGAAGGCTCAGAGGTCCAGGAGTCTGAAGCCCGATCAGGGATACCGATGAGAACCGGAACAGACTGGTTCAGGGTTCCAGGAGTCCACAGAGAGTTCAGTGGAACGTTCAGATAGGAACAGGCAGGCACGGTAGTTGAGAGGCTGAACAGGTCGGGATAACTGTAACACTACGAAATGCTAAAAAGCTTGCTCTCTCCACTGAGTCAAGAAAGGATCACGATCGTCAAATCTGGAACACTATGAAACACTAAACCTCTCTCTCCACTGGTCCCCGAGAACGAGATCATGAACTAGGGCATCAGCAATGATCTCAAACTCAATAATCTGTGGAGATAGCTGGGACAGCCTTATATATAGAAGCAGGAGCAGGTGGATTAGATAAGTGGAAACTGGACACCGGGCAGAGTTAGGCGGGTGAATGAAATGAGCAATTAGGTCAGCCCTCAGAGCCTTGATCATGACACATTGTCCCCAAGCTCCAAGAGATGTGTCTGCCACGACAGCCTGAGAACATCCAGAGACCTAAGGTACTCAGGGCTGCTCTCATCCACCCCCCTAAGACTTACCATCTTGTTAATATAAGGGGGTATAAACGCATCTGCCCCTGAGCACCCTGTCTCTTCTTCAATCAGAGATGGGTTTTTAGCCAGGTGGAGGATATCCTGCTGGCACCGCAGACCTTTATGGGCCACCCACATTGACAATAGAGGCATCGAACATTGCTCATACAGACTCCATATCCCCAACCGCCCCAGGAGAAGCTCTATTAGTTGTAGTAGTTGTAGTTGAATACGTCCCTGACAGATGGCTCCATCAGATGTCCACAGCAGACCCTCACCACTTGCCTGGACTCACAGAGTCTGTCCGGCTTCCTCCTCTTCCAGCATATCAAGCTCACCACCAGATGGTGATCTGTGACATCTCCACCTCTCTCATTACAAGCCCCAAGTTGATCATCTACCTCCTGCTTAGGATGTCCTGGTGCCAAATGTACCAATGGACATTGTTTTGCCTGAACATTGAGCACAATTCACAACTTGCACAGTAGTCCAATTATAAAGCAACACTCTGATTCAGAGCTGTGGGTCTGTTCCTCCTCATGTATCTCCAGATGTTACTGTTTTTTTCCACATGGGTGTTGAAGTCCCCCATATGACTTGTGGAATTCCCAGGAGGGAGGCTAACTACAGCCAGTATAATCATCAATGAATGAGGTGGTGTAGGCCTCCACCTCTGACTGCTGCCCAAAGCTTTACCACCAATCCCCCATGTTTGTGGTGGCTCCACAACTATTGTTAAACCATTTTTTGTTTTACTTTTTTTAACATAAAAATGGCCTTAAAGGAATAGTACAACCAAAACATGATTAGCCTTCATTTTCTACTCACCCCCATGCTGAGCAACACTCTGGAGTACTTTTTTGATATCTCAAATGCATCTGGAGATCTGGGAGGCTTCTTGCTGTCTGCTGACATTCAAATAATGGAGGTCTATGGCGCCCGAGGCAGAAAGGTCCATAAAAGTCCACAAAAAACGTGTCAATATTCCTCCATACTGCTCGTCCAATGTATTCTAAGTGTCCTGAGTGGGTAGCATCCAGAATTGACTGGAAACGAAGTCATTTAGAATGTTTTTAGAGCATAAACAGTAGTGTATAGGATTTCCTGAAAGCACGCACATGCGCGTTCAGGACGCTACGGAAACCGGCAGACCAAACCAGCACATTCAGCTTGGCAAAGAACTCATGCTCTTCCTCAACACTGAAGTCCTCAGACATTTTTCTTTCGTTGTTTCTTTCTTTGCACAGGTAAACAGCACATTTCTTCTTCTACGCTTGCATTATTGGCAGAGCAGACGCTGAATGCGCACTTTCATCTGGTATTGTCTGCCGGCTTCCGTAGCGTCGTGATCGCGCATGTGCGTGCTTTCAGGAAATCCTATACACTACTGTTAATGCTCTAAAAACATTCTAAATGACTTCGTTTCGAGTAAATTATGGATGCTACCCACTCAGGACACTTGGAATACATTGGACGAGCAGTATGGAGGAATATTGACACGTTTTTTGTGGACTTTTATGGACCTTTCTGTCTCGGTCACCATAGACCTCCATTATTTGAATGTCAGCAGACAGCAAGAAGCCTCCCAGATCTCCAGATGCATTTGAGATATCAAAAAAGTACTCCAGAGTGTTGTTCAGCATGGGGGTGAGTAGAAAATGAAGGCTAATCATGTTTTGGGTGTACTATTCCTTTAAGTGTAGCTGTTTCAGAACCATAAACATGAACACATAACGTCATTAAATACTGGTTTTGTGCTTTTAGGTCTCAGGCTGTGATCCGGTCCAGAGTTTCGGTGTATTTGCAGCCAGACTTTTTAAATCCAGAAGTTAAACTGTGTCATCACAGAAACACTCCTGTCTCATGGTAACTAAGCAGCTTTTTGTGAGTTTTCATTAACCTGATAAAAAAAACCTCATAATTATATTTAAAAAACCCTCAAATTTAAAGGGCTTTATATCATCTACATATTCTCATACATCAGGACTGTCTTTTTGGTGTTGCTTTACAGAGAAGAATAAAATCTACATTTCTTTTCTTTTTGCATTCTCTCAGTTTTGATGTTCGAATATGCATCCATGTATCTGGTCACAAAATCCCTAAGCAGACGGGTAAGGGTGAGGGGTTCATTAGGGGAATAACAGAACATCTTGATATCAGTAATCATTTTTCTGTCTTTCTGGTGATTGGCTGTTGTAGATCTTAGAGTGGAGCTACAGCTTGACACAATGAAGCAGCCGATGGGACGAAGAACTCTGTTGCTTTTGACCAATCAGCCACATGAGATAATGCAACTGGTTGTTGAAAGACAGGTGGGCCGGGCCTGTACCAATCATACAGCATATCTGAGGGTGAGTGAAAAGATCATTTTAAGATTTTGGAGAAATTTGTTCCTTCCAAATACCTCAAGCTGTAGCTCCTACCTCCAGTTTCTTGCTTCTATCCTGACACCTTTTGGGGTTGCAAAATTAAGAACACAAACAGGCAGGAAAAGAAGCTCCCGCCTGCTGTGCTGAATTCAGACAGCCTTCAGTTGTATTGACATCATAACATTGTAGACATGCACTTAAAAGATTCTACTTAAATTAGGACTGAAGCCTTTTTGAGAAGAGCTACAAAAAACAAAAGTTACAGAAATGTAATTAGTAGCTGAAGCTGTAAAGATCTTGGCACCTTTAGGTTGGGTTTTTTTGCCTTTTTGCTCTTATCACATCAACCTGTTCCTGCTGGTATTTAAGCTTCTGGGCCCCAGGCTTTGGTGAAAGATTATTCAAGCTTCCTAGCGAGACTTACCATAACGTTCCCTTTGTTTAGTTCTGTCGGTTCCGCATCTGTTTTTCTGCTTACGGACCTCTGGGCTTTCAACCGCCCCCGGTGTGCTCTCTTGAACGTGTTCTGTTCTTTCTGGACTATTACCTGGATTCTGCCTGGTGCCGACCTTGGACCTGTCTTCTGACCATGGCTTGGATTACCCTTCTGGATCTTTGGGTTGATGCTGCTTCTCTTCTCTCCTAGATCTCCGGTGCCGGCTCAATAAAAAGCAAAGATATTCCGCTCCTCTGTACACACTGAACTTTGACAGATTTCCAGTAAGCCCACTGCAGCAAATGAGCAGCCGCACATTACGTTAATAAACTCTCTTGTTAATATATCGCTGTCAGTCTCGCCTGAAATCTGGGTCCCTTGTTCTGAGCCTTCTGACAGAAGCCCTCTGTTGTAAAGCCCCAACGTATGAAGTTGTGTACATTAGCATGCGACACACAGAGTACATGTGAAGAAATAATGTTTTTTTGCTAAAGAATTGTGGGGAACAATATAGATCCTTGCAGCAGAGAAGAATGCTAACTGCACTGGCACAAGGAGACATCCTGCTTCCTTACCTTAGGTCCTTCCTTACTGCTAGCAATATCTGGATAAAACTTATCATGCTAACTTCCTATGCACTTCCACTGTAGGTTAAGTGTCACTACCGATTTGAGGTATTTGGAATGAACTCTGATGAAACTTGATAAACAGAAAACTTTACACCTCTTGTTTGTTCGTCTTCAGTCTGAAGAGGAGATTCGTGACAAACTGAGTCCAATCTTCATCACTGCTGAGATAAGCCTTCTAAACTCGACCAAAAATGCTCTGCTGCATGGACAGACGCACTCAACAGTCCAGGTGAACCAGCCTATATTCAGGCGGAGCTGGAGCTGAACCCAGGATCAGAGTTTTAGTGCACATGGAAATAACCACAGTGTGTTTGTGTTATAGAGCCGGCTAATTCTGGAATGCGGTGATGATAATGTTTGTATCCCCGACCTGAAGCTGAGAGTTAAACCGTGAGTCAACATGACGATGTAACTGTCATTATTATTATAATTATTTATTTATGGATGACTGATTCTCCGAAACTGCATTACTTATTTCACTGATCTATGGTCACGAAGGTATCACGGAAGGAAATAATATTAATGAATAGTGCGGCCAGATTAATGAAATATCACTTCAAGTACTTTATAATGACAGTGAGGATGTTTAAATCATACAAATATTATCTAAACTGCCGGTTGAAAAGTTAAAACTACAGCATAATTTTTTCAATTCACAAGAACGCCAGTACAGACTTGTACCCTCGCCAAGTATGTTCTTGAGAAGAACACAGGAAAGTATGGACTCGGGGAGAACGGGAGAACGCAGCATAAATATGGGTCAATTGGAACAGCAGCATACTCGTGATGTCACCACACGCTTGACTCGTCTGGAGCTGCATTTCCCCTCCTGTTATTAATAGTCTCTAGATCAAGGGTCACCAACGTGGTGCCCGTGGGCACCAAGGTGCCCTCAAGGACCACATGGGGGGCCCTCAGAGTCTCCTAAATAAAGAACAAACCACCAGTGGGCTAAGTTTGAAATTTTATTCTATTCTGTTGCTCCTTTTTTTAATCATTTATAGAGATTTCAAAAATGACAATGTCTAAATAAACTTAGAAATGAACAGAAACAATAAAAATAAGTTGATAATGAACAAAGTTTAGGCTAACGCTAACCCTTGCTAGCCTGGGTTCCATTCCGAACTTAGTCCCGCCCACAACGTTTGAGGTCGGGAAGTTCGGTCTGGCATTGCTCAATAGTAGCGCGAGTATGCTCGCACAATATCTGACGGGCCAATCAAATTGTCAGGGCGGGCTTTATACGATGATGGACAGATGATCAACAGTAACGTAATCAACCACGTGACCAAAGCGCGCTTGGGTGACAACAACAATGGCTGCCGCTGGAGAGTTGAGGTGAGTAGATTCTGCTATTAGGTCTGTTCTAGAAGATATCGACAGCAAATTAATTTTAAAAGAGGAACAGAGAAACGCGATCAAGGCTCATCTTCTTATTCTAGGCGTGTAACTGCACGCTCTGATTTTTGCTGACAACAACTATGCGTTGCTTAACATTCGTCATGCACTCCGTTGCTCTTATTGGTTGTAGGTCTATCCAATTGAGTGCAGAGGCATTTTTTTTCCTGGTTCGTTCAAAACACGCCCCATAATCACAGCTCTATGGAGCACGCAAGGGTTTAGCCTGACGTAGTAATAATACATTAGTATAATGATTAATACTTTCAGATAAACACATCAAATAAAATTTTTGCCAAAAAACAAAACAAAAAACATTCATCATAGCCAGTGGGAATATACACATGGCTCTGCTGCAGACGGGCTGCGGTTAGCCTCAGAGGTTTGCTGATTGCCTGTCAACATCGGAAGTTTTTTTTAAATTACGCACTAAATCAGTAAATGGGCCATATAGTGACCCTTAAAAATATAATGTTCTCACCTCAAATTATCTTAAAACGTACTTTTAAAGAAGCACATCAACAGAAAACAGATATTTTAACGTAATACTCTGCAAGTGCTAACCTGGAAGCTGCTTCTCACTGCAATGCATGCAGGGACAGTCTGTTCTGTTGCATGCTGGGTAAAGAGGGAGGGGCGAGAACAGCAACTTTTTTCCATTCTTTGTCTTGTTTTCTTGTGAATTGGAACAGCTCTAGGGCTGAGGCTGATGATGTTTCACGAGCACATGAGAACGCACAAGTACATATAATGAGAAACGGCCATATTTTCTGCAGAAGCTGCACTGCACTCACCAGTTCGTCACATACATATATAAAGATAGACATCTTTTATCTCCAGAAAGTACTAAGATATTTTTTGAAGATTCAAACAATAAAGGTATAAGGGTTTTCCTATTGCTTGTTTCTTTTCGATTGGTCACCAAACCACTCAATAAAAATTACAGTTTTATTGTTAGTAACTCATGCTTTTTAAAATATCTTTTTTGACATGAAATATTTATAATATTTTAAATGAAATGCTTCCTACAAACTTTAAAAGGAACTGCTATAGAACTGATTACATCTTTATGCTTTGGGCCAGGGATGAAATGGGCTTTTCATTGCCACCACTCAGTACTTGAAGGATTTGCCTGCTGACATGTTGTTTTTGTCTGTCTGATGGTGTGTGATGATGTTTGTTGATATGCGTTGGTGTGACTAGGGTGTCAGATAGTGTGTTGGTTGGAGATGATCAGTCAGTGTTGCTGTCGGTGTCGGCTATCAACGAAGGTGAAGGTGCATATGAGACTGAGCTAGTGATCCAAATCCCGGAACACACACACTTCCAAAGCAGTCAGGTGAGATGAGCAGTTTAAGCAGCCAATCAGAGGGGTATGTTTGGTGTGCTTAAGTTGGGAACTGTTTTTCTTTTTTTTTTTTTTTGCAGGGTGCAAGTCGTCTGGTGTGCATTCAGAGGAAAGAGAACCAGACTGTTGTTGTCATCTGTGACCTTGGAAACCCCATGAAACAAAGACAGATGGTGAGTAATCCTCCAAGATTTGGTCTGTTTCATCCCTAAGGTTGGACAGTAGGACATTTTAGAAATTAATTTGCTTCAATACTTGATTAAAATCATTAAATTATGCCATCATGTCAAGTTTTAGAGGTGCCTGTTAATTGTTAATGATTGAGCCAATTGTGGCTAAGTGGGGAAAGACTGAATACATGCAAAACATGCAAAACACCTTCTCTGGAGGTCTAGAGTTGCCAAACCCCTCTACAGTATAAACACTGTAACACCCTTAATGCACACATGCTGGTTTTTTAAAAGAGGTTTCAGTTCTAATCAGCGTTCAGTCCAGCAGGACTGGGGTCAAAGTAAGCCCAGTAAAAGGAAACTTGATGTATGAAAAAACACAAATCCTCTTTCACCAGAGAGTACAACATTTAGAAATAGATAAAATATATTTTAGCTTTGAGCTTTACTGGGAGATGTACCATATCTATGTGAATATCACATGGAAAAAAATATCTGAGATTAAAGCTTGATCATGAGATCCTCTGATTGTAATGACAAGAACGGTGATATGTCATCTGCATAACAAGTGATTTGAGTCATAAAAGAGGATGATGACAAAACCTAAACTTTTTTTTTTTAAATGTCAGAAAAACAAACTGTCAGCAAGTTTTTTGTTGTCAGTTTTGTAAAACAAATGTTTCCGTTTAAACATGTTATTAAGAATGCCTTTGCTGTCCTTACCTGCCGCAAGTGGGTTTGGTTTACTGATACTCTATGACAGAGGTCTTCAACGTTTTCAAAGCCAAGGACCCCCAAACTGATTGCGAGATGGAGCGGGGACCCCCATCCATCCATCCATCCATCCATCCATGCATCCATCCATTTTCTTTACACGCTTTTCTCAAGTGGGGTCGCGAGGGTTGCTGGTGCCTATCTCCAGCAGTCAATTGGCAAGAGGCGGGGTCCACCCTGGACAGGTCGCCAGTCCATCGCAGGGCAACACAGAGACACACATGACAAACTACCATTCATGCACACACTCACACCTAAGGACAATTTAGAGAAGCCAATTAACCTAACAGTCATGTTTTTGGACTGTGGGAGGAAGCCGGAGTACCCGGAGAGAACCCACGCATGCTCAGGGATAAGAGGATTGATAGGAGGAATTGCTAACAACTACTGTAATTGAATTGATGCAATTGACTTGGATCCCTTTGATGGAATACTTGGTGTGAATGGTGTAACTGAGACTGCATTCTGTTATAACTTGGAAAACATAAAAATCTGTAAAACATGTAAATATGTTTAGAATTTTCCTATGGCTTCGAGTTAGAACTTTGCTTTGTGGAGTGCTTTGAAATGTTTAGTTTTGAATTTGTGACGCAAAAAAAAAAAATTGGATTAGTCTAAAGTAGTGCAAATATGATGATTAATGCAGCATCCTGTATTGTCTATCCATTGACCTTAGGTGCAGACTGTACTCATGTTCAGCGTTGGTCACCTGGAGGAGGTGGAGAGTCACATAAGTTTCAGCCTCAGAATCCGGAGGTACAAAGTCTGACTCTTATCCTAGATTTATTAGAAATTCCTCTGTTCTACATTCTGTCGACCTTCCTATGTTTCAGTAAGAACTCTGTGAACTCCAGCAGTAACCAGGTGACAGTGAAGGTTCAGGTGAAGGCAGAGGCCACGTTGGAAATCAGAGGGTATAACTTATCACTGTTCTGGATTTAAGACTAGATTTACAAACTTAGTGTATTAAGGCCTTAGTTTTCTTGCAGAGGTTCAGTTCCTTCAGAAGTCCTCTTGCCCCACCCAGACTTCCAGCCTGTGGTGAACCCTGGAAGACTGGAGGAAGTTGGCCCACTGGTGGAGCATGTGTATGAGGTAAGGTATTATACTTAATATTTAAGCGCAGCACCATGACCAACAATGGACCCGGCTTTGTCTGATCTGTGTGTTCATTAAAGGCATACTATGCAACATTTTTCAGTTAATTAATGTGTTCCATAACGTTTTGGATGATTAAATGAGTCATTTCAGGTTGAACAAAGGTTTTCTCGGCCGCCCTGGTGGTCTGTAGGGGAAATACCGTACTTGCAATTGCAGGAGCACCCACAGGCTCAGAAGTCTCGTGCATTGCGAGAGTCGGTCTTGCTTTACGCGAGAACTGCTACACGCCCCCAGTGAAGGGCATGCTCGTTGCTAGCGCAGTGGCGATATTTGTGCAGACGAAGCTGATGTTGAAGCTGATTCCTGCAATATTATCACAGAGTTGTTGTCAATAACAAGTTTAGCCTACATATAATAGCTCATAAGTCCTGAGCCTCAAACGATTTTGTGTCTAGTCATACTATGGCAGACTAGAATAGTCTGATTATCTACCATACTATTTCAAATATTTCTGATGCATGCATAAGGTTGTTTAGACCATTTTAAATTCTTTGAAATGTACTAATTCAGTGCTCGAGGTACAAAACCACAGAAATCAGAACCCCCTTCCCCCAATGACAGTCGGATAAATGTATGGGAAACTCCAACTTGGCTAACTACAATCTTTGTTATTTAGACACATGCATAACAAATAATGTATGAAAACATGCTAAATTTCAAACTCGAAAATTGGAACAAAATAGCCACTTACCGCAGTAGACATGGTGATTCGTTGCGTTCGCCTGTCTGCTAAGCTCAAAACAACCGCGCCTGGCTTGATGGAGAAACCAGGAGAACAGCTGAGCATATTTACGACAGTGCACTTTTACTTTCGCCCTCTGGGGGGAGCCTCGCTGGAAAATCAACACCGGTTGCATAGTGTACCTTTAAGACAGGCTGGAGTTCCACATAAGGCAGATCTGTTGGTCTCTGGAAGCTGAAGTAGCTCTGCTGGCCTACTGATGTAGACTAGAAGTTCATGTTTTGGTAGATAAAGAGCTGCTGTCTGCTTCCAGTCACATGCAGATGAACTTCAGCATCTCTATCATGCTGCCAGTTTAAGCTGCTAACACTGATGTTACCTATAATGTTAATGATGCCTGTTTGTAGATCAGGAATCAGGGTCCCAGTTCTGTCAATGCCCGACTGACCGTTGACTTTCCCTCCACCTGGCAACAATACTTTTTACTCTACGTCATCTCCACTCCCTCAGAAGAATCCTTGAGTTGTCAGACCCTAAACACATCAGAGCTGGTGCCTTTAGAGGTATGCAAACAACATTTTCCATGTTAGTTTATGTAACTTGCACCTTACTATTCTATCTCTTACTTTTCTATTCCTTACCTATCTATACCTCACTTTTCTTAAAGGTTCAACTAGTTGAAGATGTTGCCCTAAATATGTTGTAATTTCCTTTTAACTTGAAAACCCTCAGGAAGGCTAACCGAGTGATTTCATTGTATAACTTTTAAGTGGTGTAAATGTAGATAATGCCACAATGCATCACTGAATCTAAGTTTTCATGAAGTTATACATGAGCTATCTTTTGAAACAAACACATGCGACTGGCTTGTGATATATTGCTAATTATATTAGGTAGAGCTAACACCATTAGCAGAAGCAAAAATGAAATCAAAATCAAATGAGATGAAAAATTAGATTAAATTCAGTACAAAAATACTTTATTAATCCCAGACATTAAAGGAATAGTACACCCAAAACATGATTAGCCTTCATTTTCTACTCACCCCCATGCTGAACAACACTCTGGAGTACTTTTTTGATATCTCAAATGCATCTGGAGATCTGGGAGGCTTCTTGCTGTCTGCTGACATTCCAATAATGGAGGTCTATGGCGCCCGAGGCAGAAAGGTCCATAAAAGTCCACAAAAAACGTGTCAATATTCCTCCATACTGCTCGTCCAATGTATTCCAAGTGTCCTGAGTGGGTAGCGTCCATAATTTACTCGAAACAAAGTCATTTAGAATGTTTTAAGAGCATAAACAGTAGTGTATAGGATTTCCTGAAAGCGCGCGCCAGCGCGTTCAGGACGCTACGGAAGCCGGCAGACCAAACCAGATGAAAGTGCGCATTCAGCGTCTGCTCTGCCGATAATGCAAGCGTAGAAGAAGAAATGTGCTGTTTACCTGTGCAAAGAAAGAAACAACGAAAAAAAAATATCTGAGGACTTCAGTGTTGAGGAAGAGCATGAGTTCTTTGCCGAGCTGAATGCGCACTTTCATCTGGTTTGGTCTGCCGCGGTTTCCGTAGACTCGTGAACGTGCTTTCAGGAAATCCTATACACTACCGTTTATGCTCTAAAAACATTCTAAATGACTTTGTTTCGAGTAAATTCTGGATGCTACCCACTCAGGACACTTGGAATACATTGGACGAGCAGTATGGAGGAATATTGACACGTTTTTTGTGGACTTTTATGGACCTTTCTGCCTCGGGCGCCATAGACCTCCATTATTTGAATGTCAGCAGACAGCATGAAGCCTCCCAGATCTCCAGATGCATTTGAGATATCAAAAAAGTACTCCAGAGTGTTGTTCAGCATGGGGGTGAGTAGAAAATGAAGGCTAATCATGTTTTGGGTGTACTATTCCTTTAAATGTTGCAGTTACTCATACATATTTTTTTAAACAGGTGTTGTAGGTGTTGATAGCTGTAGGCAGGAAGGATCTTTTGTAGCTGTCTGTCACCGGATCTGGAGAAGCCTCTAACTGGCCTCTGGTTTCTAATAATCTAATAAGCCTCTAATTTTTGGTCCATAAACAATTATGAATTAAATTACAAAGTACCAGTAAGTCTATTTCAGTCTATTCGTGGATCCCTTTGATATTTTATCTCTGGCTCCACCTGCCTTTTTAACGCTCACCTTTCAACAACTTATTTTAACCTTACCTGTATGTATATCTCCTCTCTAGCTAAGTTGTTAATCTCTTACTTGCCCTCAGTTGCTGAGTAACTACAGTGTTGCTGCAGTTTCAAATTCCATCCAGCAGGAGGAGACAAACTCCAACAGACAAACTGTCTATGTGGTAAAAAACATACAAACCTTGTTCTTCTGCATTCCTAATCCCAACTAAAGTTTATTTTAAAACATTAAATGTCCAATCTAAGGATGAGTTAGAGATTTGAGTTATGTATATATATATATATATATATATATATATATATATATATATATATATATATATATATATATATATATATATATATATGTATCTATATTTTTTATTTTTTTTGTTTATGCCTGTTTGTCAGAACTGCAGCAGCAGAGATACGGGGTGTGTAAGGTTTGAGTGTGATGTCATGGCTTTGGGGCGGGGCTGTAGTGCCGTGATCAAAATATCAGCTCGGCTGTGGTTGCACACACTAACAAAGGTATCTGTAACCCCCCCCCCCCCCCCCCACACACACACACACACACACCGACGCTTATACTCAACTGAGGGTGCCGTCACTGTGTTTTCTTGAACAGACTCCCCACCTGAACTATGACCTTGTTTCTTCTGCGTATTATGATATCATCAGCACACCATCAAAGGTCCAACCTGTGCTTTTCAACAGTGGACATGCACAGGTACCCCGATTCCCACCCCTATCACCGTCTACACAAACACAATGAGACACAGATATCATCAAATAACAACTGAACCGAACCCAGAACTGTTTGTTGTTTGTTTGCATGTGTGTTTAGGCTCAGATCAGCTTGGTGTGGCGTTCTCTTGATGGAGAGAAGCCTATTCCTATTGGTTACATCATCCTGTCAGTGTTTTCTGGACTCCTCCTCCTCTGCCTGCTCTGCTTCATCTTCTGGAAGGTATCAATCAAGACTTTGCTCTCAGTAATGCTTCGTCGATACCAGGCCTGACCATAGTTGGTGTTGTGGGCCACTGTCCTGCAGGTTTTCAAGGTTTCCCTGCTTTAACACAACTAATTTTCCATTGATAGCTTGTTAGCTGCATTCGCTGAACTACAGAATCAGCGGTGCTGTAGCTGAGAAACACTCAAAACCTGTAGGACAGCGGATCTCGAGAACCGACTTTGAGCAGCCCTGATCTCTACACTAATCGAATAAACCTCCATCTCTATGTGTGTAGCTGGGCTTTTTTAGGCGTACCAGGCCCCCGACTGATGATGATGATGATGATGATGATGATGATGATGATGATGACAATGGTAAAGACCATGGAGACCAAGAATTATCTGAGGAGAGCCATGACTGAATAGTAAATCTTCAACTTGGGCTGCACACACCTGTTAATATCTTACCAATATCATGCTTGTTTAATTGATTAATGAGCGTCAATAAATCCTGAAGTGCATATTAATAAAATGTTTTTTTTCTTCAGGTTCCTCAGTTTCACTTTGATTTTCAACCTTATTTATGAATTTGGAGGAAACATGAAAATTTAATGGAATGTTTTCAATCTTTGACACATATAGGTGACTAAAACTGGAATGGAGTAAAAAAAAAATTCCTTCTATTATTATCAAGTTTACCAAATGTAGTAGCTGCAGTCACTGGCTTTATAATAAATAAAATAAATTCTACTTTATTGTCATTCCACTGTCACAAGTACAGAGCAATGAAATGAATTCTCTGCATTTAACCCCTCCCCTTGGGGAGCAGTGGGCTGCCATCGTGCGGCGCCCGGGGAGCAGTGTGGGGTTAAGGATCTTGCTCAGGGACCCAGAGTGGCAGTCTGAGGAAGAGGGAGATCGAGCTCACAACCTCAGGATTCAAAGCCCTATGCCCTTACCACCATGCCGCCACTCCCCACTAGATAGAAGTTTTCAATACATTTTCTCAACTACATTTTGTTTGGCTAACAGCAATGAGATGTGAGGATGTTTGGACATATCTATTTTAAATATTGGAACCCTTAAATCAGTGTGAATGTCTGACTAAAAATGATCCATCCATCCAAAATAAACAAGAAATACAAACTGTTAATAATAATAATCAGGGGGGGATCTAGGATTCTAGGAGATCAGGGGCTTAGCCCCGAGGGTGAAGATGAGCGAGTAGACTTTCTGCTAAATCCCGTTCTAATGTAAAATATGACAGTTTACTGGATTAAAGAAATTTCTAGTATACTACATGCTATCACATGTAACAATTCCAGCTCCACAACATGGGAAGAAATTCATTTACCTGCAAGTCTTTAACTGTGTTTATTTCTTTCTTCAACAACAAGCTCTGTGGAGACATTTGATCATTATTTACCAAAGTTATGAAGGGAAATCATATATTTTAGCCACCTGATATAATCTGCTCCCCCATAACATGGGAAAAATTAAACAAATCCTGTGAATTTTGAAACTGTCATTATTTTTCTATATTATGTTTGAAACATTTATTATTTTATATTTTGAAATCTTAAATAGTTAATAAAAATATGTCAATTCTCAATTGAAAATGTCTGGAATAGCATTACTTCAGACATTTTGAAAAACGAAACATCTTCAAACTTGGAAAACAAAGTCCAGCTGTTTTAGTTTGAACTTTTCTTTTGAAATATTTTTGTAAATGTTTAGATAAACATTTAAACAGAAAAGAAATTTCATAAAGATCATCAAAGGGGAAACGGATTATATCAGGAGGCTAAAATATACGGTTTCCCTCTCATAACTTTGGCAAATAATGATTTAATGTCACCAAATCCACAGGATTTATTGTTGATGATGAGAGGAATAAACACAGTTAAAGATTTGTAGGTGAATGAATTTCTTCCCATGTTATGAAGGAGGAACGGAATATTCCAGGCAGCTGAAATATCCATTCTCTCCTCCCCTCCTCCCATATGTTTAGGAAATAAACAGCAACTGTTTCCAAATTCTCAAAAAATTTTATGTGTGATAGCATGTAGTATACTAGAAATTTCTTTAATCCAGTAATCTGTCATATTTTACATTAGAACAGGATTTAGCAGAGAGTCTACTCTCTCATCTTTTCTGGAAATCTTAATGTTTGTGTCCTGCTATCAGCCAGTTTCCGTCCTCTTATATCAGCAGTGAAAAATGATAAATACTTCTGACTTTTATTTCTGTCAGGCTTAACTGACACAAGCTGGAAAAAGACAGATTCTCTTGGTGTTTAAAAAATAACACAAAACAGCTTAAAAGGACCTCGCATATTTATTTATTTTACAATTTTTCTTATTGCACAGACAGAATCAGACTGCAGAGCTTCTACATACAGTATCTTGACATTTTGTTTCTGGCATCATGATATTAGTAGAGAAGTTCGTGGATCTTTTTAAACAGAGTACAGAGAGAAGTAGGCAGAGCTGCAGATTTAAAGGTGAAACAGATTTATATATATTTAGAGATATATTTTATTGCAACATGCAACAAAATATATCTCTAAGTGTACCAGAAAGTTTACAAGAAAGAAAATATGCTATGCTATATTTAAAATGCAGCATATCCATATTTTTCTGGATGGAATTAAAATTGTACTTCTAGGGAGGCATGATTTATCGATACTGGCACCGAAATCAGTTGTTATTCTTTTATACATTAATGTTTTTGGGGCTCTAAATGTGTAATGCGCTAAAAGGCATCTGTCTACCTACCTATAAATATATTGTATTGTGGTACTCTTGTGTTCTCAAAAATAAGAGAGCATTTAATAAATATATGTTTGAGCTCATTTATGAAAAATATAAAAATCTAATGAAAACGTTCGGGTTGAGTAAATGTAGGTCCATCAGCCTCCACCCGAGTGTCCCCACCAATTTTCATTACAAAGTTACACACTTGAATGTTGGTATGAAATCAGTCCAAAGACGAAAGTTTATAACTTAAGATGCAGCTAGTTAGAAAAAGACATTATAGACAGAAAAAAATCCTGTACTAACGTTATAGGGGTGTAAATCACATCCATCATGGCGATTCGATTCAGTATCAATTTCCTGACCCAATGATTCAGGAAGCGAGGTAGGAGGGCAAAATAGGTTTAGCGCCGCCGCAGCACGGGAGGGAGAATTACGCCCAGAAGCAAATGGATAAAAATAGACCGGAGGAAAAAAAAACATCAATCGATTCTCTTGCGGACGTGTCGATGCATCGGATCGTCGGCTGTTGGATCGATGCATCGATACAAAACGATTATTATTTACACCCCTATAACGTTAGCAGAAAGGACACTCTGAGAGGAGGAAGTCATTATTGAAAACGTATCATAAAGGTTTGACTTCAGGTTGCAAATGCATTTTCTCAGGTCTCTAGAAACTAAATGATTATCATCTTCATCATGTTTGGAGGGGAAAACTGGAAGCTTGCATGAAGTATGGAGATGGCAGAATGTTGATGCAGGTGTAGTAAAACACTTTCTCATGTCTGTTCATATAACAGACATGAGGAGGAAGTTTTAAATTACATGGAATCAGTGTTGAAGTTAACGCTTGGACATAAATTAGACAGTAAAGCTGTGAATACAATAAAATCATATTAGTGTAAGCTGCTGCTGTCTTTTGTTTTATTGCATTTAAATTTGATGTTGTCCACCAGGTTCTTCTTACTTTGGACTTTAACCCAATAATTAATCATCTATCAAAACCACTAACTAGCTGTGCTTCACTTCCTTTAATGGACCACAGCGGGTAACACTTGGAACCCATGTGACAGTCATGCCTCTGTCTGTAAACATCGTCTTTGTGTGAAATGAGTGTTACAGAGACAGAAGTCCAACAGAGACTGGTTGATATAATGAAGTATGGAGCGCATTTTTGTTCTGTTGTTGCAAGCAAATTACAAGTTTTTTAAATATTCTACTTTTTTGGGGGGGATACCACAACTAATCACCTTTTGTAAATGTAAATAAATAAATCTGATTTAAAAATCAAACTGAGAATACTTTTTGCTGTTTTCTTAAGTCAAATTTATGAAATACATTATTTTAAACTACTAGTGGTCAGCTGGAAGTGAGCAAAAATATTTTCATTGGTCAACTAATGCATCAAGAGCAAATGTTTGTGTTAGGTTCTAAATAAAGGAAACTTTATCAATAAAATGCAAAAAAAAAATTCAATAAAAAAATTCCAACAGAAGGGAATTTAAATAGCTCAAAGTTGAAAACATAAAATATGCAAATAAAATAAAAATAAATAGAAAGAATAGTTAAAAAAAAATCTTTCTCTAAAGTTACTTCTTGCATAAAAAATCTTTTTTTTTATTTTTTATTTTTAAGTGCTATTTCTGGATTGATTTTTATTTTATTTTTTTTTATTTCGACTTACAAACAGGAAATCCAACATGTTGAATTTTCTCAGAGGATATCCTGTTCCTGAAGTTTTCCCTGAGTACAGATGCAAACATAACACGTTAAATGTGACATGTAGTCAATACGGAAGAGGATTAGGGCCACTGAAAAAAAAAAGTTAACTGATTTTTAAATTTTATTTCATTTTAATATGGGAAAAAATTCAGAATTCTGACTTTAATCTGAGAATTTTGACTTTAATCCCAGAATTCTGACTTTAATCTCAGAATTCTTACTTTAATCTCTGAATTTTGACTTTAATCTCAGAATTCTGACTTTAATCTCAGAATTCTGACTTTTTTTCTCAGAATTCTGACTTTAATCTCAGAATTTTGACTTTAATCTCAGAATTCTGACTTTAATCTCAGAATTCTGACTTTAATCTCTGAATTTTGACTTTAATCTCAGAATTCTGACTTTAATCTCAGAATTCTGACTTTAATCTCAGAATTCTGACTTTTTTTCTCAGAATTCTGACTTTAATCTCAGAATTTTGACTTTAATCTCAGAATTCTGACTTTAATCTCAGAATTCTGACTTTAATCTCTGAATTTTGACTTCAATCTCAGAATTCTGACTTTAATCTCTGAATTTTGACTTTAATCTCAGAATTCTGACTTTTTTTTCTCAGAATTCTGACTTTAATCTCAGAATTCTGACTTTAATCTCAGAATTCTGACTTTAATCTCAGAATTTTGACTTTAATCTCAGAATTCTGACTTTAATCTCAGAATTCTGACTTTAATCTCTGAATTTTGACTTTAATCTCAGAATTCTGACTTTAATCTCAGAATTCTGACTTTAATCTCAGAATTCTGACTTTTTTTCTCAGAATTCTGACTTTAATCTCTGAATTTTGACTTCAATCTCAGAATTCTGACTTTAATCTCTGAATTTTGACTTTAATCTCAGAATTCTGACTTTTTTTCTCAGAATTCTGACTTTAATCTCAGAATTTTGACTTTAATCTCAGAATTCTGACTTTAATCTCAGAATTCTGACTTTAATCTCAGAATTCTGACTTTAATCTCTGAATTTTGACTTTAATCTCAGAATTCTGACTTTAATCTCAGAATTCTGACTTTAATCTCAGAATTCTGACTTTTTCTCAGAATTCTGACTTTAATCTCAGAATTGTGGATCTTAATGTAGATGGGCACAATGAAGGAAGAGATGTGGAGCACTCAGCTTCACTGACAAAGATGTGAGTTGTTTGAGGTGGCCAGTGACACATTCGTGGAAAATTACCGAATTAGTCAACTTTTACGTGCCAGAGGCGTCCCCTCATTAATGGAGGAGCAGAAGGTCATTAAAACAAGAGAGCTAGTCTCTAAAACAGACATGGCTATGGCTTGATGCTAACATGTTTGTTCTCTGTCAGAATTCTGAGATTAAAGTCAAAATTCTGAGATTAAAGTCAGAATTCTGAGATTAAAGCCAGAATTCTGACTTTTTTTCCAATACTAAATTGAAATAAAATTTTAAAATCACTAAACTTTTTTTTTTTTCCTAATCCTCTTCCATAAGTCAATCAGAAAATGTTTCCACAGGAAAAAAGAAAACACCAGTTTACCAAACAGAGTAATAATTAGGTCAAAATTAGTTTAGGAATTATCTCTATTGATTGTGAATTGTCGGCCATGTTTATTTACTCCACTCATGTTTGATCTGGGAAGTTTAGTGAGATTTCTTGCCTGGTTGATGGACTTATCTGAATGAAATATGTTGTTAACTCATATTTTGGTTCTTGGGGGAGCTGGAGCCTGAGATGACAAACAAACAATTTCCAATATTAATACAACTTGGAGGGTTCTCCAGCCTAACTCCACATGAAAACTGCTCCAACTTACCTGCACAAATGTGGGCGGTTGTGCAGGAAGTGGTACCTTCACAATACCTCACTTCAAAAGATCTGTTTAAAAAAGCAGTTTTCACACACAATGTAAGAAAAACAGGATTCTTTTATTTAACAGTTACCAACCAAAACTAAATAAGAAATATTCAAAAATATATGATATTTGAAAAAAAAAAAACTATTGATTTTATTGAGGCGAAAAAAATACATGGAGGGTAATATGAAGGGATGTCCTGAGTTGAGGCGTCCAGGCAGTTCTTCTTTTTCAAGACAGCAACTCCACCTCTTTCAGTCTAACTGGATATTGCTTCCCACCATCCCAACCCATGATGCAGGTTTGTGTGTGATTGGTGGAGCTGGCCGGAGTCAGTCCTGAGCCTATCAGACACTACTGAGGGAGTTAAAACCCTGAGGCATGAAGGGAGGATGAAGAGGATTAGTGCAGATTACTGAGCAGTTTATAACAGCAGACAAGAGGAAGAAGAGAGAACAAACCAGTTAGGAGATAAATTCTTATCAACAGGCCAACTGGACTGAACTGGTGCAGTAAACTGGCAGCAGCCTGTCAGAACAGACTCTACCAGTAAGTTTGTGGAGGTAGGTTGAACTGCTGTGGGCTGGGCTGGAGTCAGCAGCCGGCGTGGATGGACGGGTTCCAGGCGTATGGGGCGGGGAAGGCCGGCGGTGCCTTCGATCCTCTGACCTTCATCAGGCAGCCTCAGACGGTGGTCAGGATCCTCTGCTGGGTGAGTCTAATGATGATGTCAGCTGTCAGTTAGAGAAGGGGTGGAACCACCTGGGGACTGCTACAGGTGTGAACTTAATCAGCTATGGTTTGGTTCCTAACAATCTATAGAGGTATGATGGACATGGTGGGATTTTGGTATAGGAATCCTCCCTCTGATTGCTTGGCTTGGCCGAAATCAGAAACCTTCCGAGAAAACTGAGGCTAAACCTCCATCTGAACATCTGCAAACATCTGTAAAAACCCGTGGGTCAGAGAGCCTCAGAGATCTATCGATGTACTCAGATCAGTGATACTGAAACTTCTTGTTTGGTTCATGCTGGAAGCTGCACAGTGGAAACCAGAACTATTGTTTCCTCTGCTTCTCAGTCACCTGCAGCTGAAACACAGAGGAAGGTGCAATAGAATGCTGTGCTTCTGCATCATAGGTGTGATCCTACAAGTAATGGTTACCAAACATGACATGCAATAGATAGATAGATAGATAGATAGATAGATAGATAGATAGATAGATAGATAGATAGATAGATAGATAGATAGATAGATAGATAGATAGATAGATAGATAGATAGATAGATAGATAGATAGATAGATAAGCAGCCAAAATGGCCCTTCACAGTCAAATGACAGTCGAATGGCAGCCAACTGTCTGACCAGGAGAAGGCACTTCTATTTAGATCTTAAAGTCCACATATCACTACAGTAAGAATATTTTAGTACAAATATTGATGTTTAAAAAAGGAACCTTAGGAAAGTGAGGAAATTTTAAATTGCTACTACTGTAATAGATCGAACTTTCAGTCTAAAATGACTTCCACTCCTTGCAGATTTAGATTTATAATTTGACAAAGTAAACAGTTTCCAGCACTCAGCACTGAAGCTAACTCATCTTGGAGAGGCAGAAGATGTTTAGATGTTTCCTCTAAAATTAAAAAGACAAATCCATTTTTAGGGACCCTGATTCTTTGAGGTAGGAAGGCCTCCTTACCTTGACCCTAATCTTTAGCTTTAAGATTGCATATATCAGATTCAACTTTGAACTATGGGTAACTTACTGTTTTTTTTTCTTTTTGTAAAGATCCTCAGGTTCCTCTGACTCAGCTAAGATTATAATCTAAGTGACCCATCTCACATGATTTAGATGATTTATATTTTTCCTTTGTGGCTCTGTAGATGACTTTGGATCTGTTCTGTGACTCTGTGAGTTGAGGCCGGTCAGTTTGTGTTCCTCTAGCTTCAGATGCGTAAGTGTGACTCAGTCATGAGACCAGCTTTAACATTCCTGAGGCTGAGCACAAGACCTGTTGAATAAACGCTTGTTGTTTCAGAGTACTTTGCTTTAACTGGACAGAGAAATGTACCCAATTGGTTCTGATAATTACCATATGAAGGAGAACTTTGATCCGACGTTTGTTGTTCAGATGGAGAAGAAACCTGAACCATCTTCACATACAGATTGTTGATGAGGTAGTTTATTAAACACATTGGATGATGTAACTTTACTTCTTAAGCTCCATCCAGATATGACATGACTGTGGTTACATGGTTACAGAAGTCAGCCTGCTAACCTGCAGGGATTATAACAGCAGAAGAAGGAAGGCCCTATGTCCCGGCTTGACCCATCTGAATAAGCTCTACTGATGTTTGATGGATCCAAGGTCCTCAAAAAAAAAAAAAAAGTGACCTTTTGAGGAAACTGTCCTGAGAAACATCTTCACTGTGACAGCGGTAGGAGGTCCAGTTTGGTCCGTCACACCTCTGTCCTCATCATAATGTAGACCACTGGTTCTCAAACTTTTTTTTTCCCCTAAGCTTCAACTTTATGTGGGATCTTCAAGCACCACCAAAATGTCAGATATTAAAGAATTAGTACACCCAAAACATGATTAGCCTTCATTTTCTACTCACCCCCATGCTGAACAACACTCTGGAGTACTTTTTTGATATCTCAAATGCATCTGGAGATCTGGGAGGCTTCTTGCTGTCTGCTGACATTCAAATAATGGAGGTCTATGGCGCCCGAGGCAGAAAGGTCCATAAAAGTCCACAAAAAACGTGTCAATATTCCTCCATACTGCTCGTCCAATGTATTCCAAGTGTCCTGAGTGGGTAGCGTCCAGAATTTACTCGAAACGAAGTCATTTAGAATGTTTTGAGAGCATAAACAGTAGTGTATAGGATTTCCTGAAAGCGCGTTCACGAGTCTATGGAAACCGGCAGACCAAACCAGATGAAAGTGCGCATTCAGCTCGGCAAAGAACTCATGCTCTTCCTCAACACTGAAGTCCTCAGACATTTTTCTTTCGTTGTTTCTTTCTTTGCACAGGTAAACAGCACATTTCTTCTTCTACACTTGCATTATTGGCAGAGCAGACGCTGAATGCGCACTTTCATCTGGTTTGGTCTGCCGGCTTCCGTAGCGTCATGAACGCGCTTTTAGGAAATCCTATACACTACTGTTTATGCTCTAAAAACATTCTAAATGACTTCGTTTCGAGTAAATTCTGGACGCTACCCACTCAGGACACTTGGAATACATTGGACGAGCAGTATGGAGGAATATTGACACGTTTTTTGTGGACTTTTATGGACCTTTCTGCCTCGGGCGCCATAGACCTCCATTATTTGAATGTCAGCAGACAGCAAGAAGCCTCCCAGATCTCCAGATGCATTTGAGATATCAAAAAAGTACTCCAGAGTGTTGTTCAGCATGGGGGTGAGTAGAAAATGAAGGCTAATCATGTTTTGGGTGTACTATTCCTTTAAAATACATATCGGGTCGCGGGGGCAGCAGCCTAAGAAGGGAGGCCCAGACTTCCCTCTCCTCCGCCACTTCTTCTAGCTCCTCAGGAGGAACCCCAAGGCGTTCCCAGGCCAGCTGAGAAACATAGTCTCTTCAGCGTGTCCTGGGTCTTCCCCTGGGTCTCCTCCCGGTGGGACGTGCCCGGAACACCTCACCAGGGAGGCGTCCAGGAGGCATCCTAACCAGATGCCCGAGCCACCTTAACTGGCTCCTCTCGACGTGGAGGAGCAGCGGCTCTACTCCGAGTCCCTCCCGGATGACCGAGCTTCTCACCCTATCTCTAAGGGAGAGCCCAGCCACCCTATGGAGGAAACCCATTTCGGCCGCTTGTATCCGCGATCTCGTTCTTTTGGTCATGACCCAAAGTTCATGACCATAGATGAGGGTAGGAACGTAAATCGGTAAAATGACCGGTAAATCGAGAGCTTTGCTTTTTGACTCAGCTCTCTCTTCACCACGACGGGCCGGTACAGCGCCCGCTTCACATCAGACGCTTTAGTAGAAAATGACTTCTGTAGAAGTCATATTCTGGGTTGTTGCCCTCCTAAGGCCTCCTCCACGTCTCCTGGTTGTGCCTCCAGCCTCTGGACACTACGCAGACATACATACAGTCAACCTTCTTGCCACAGATCGCATTGATGTGCCATCCTGGATGAGCTGCATTACCAGAACCACTTGTGTGGGTTGTAGAGTCTGTCTCAAGCTACCATGAGTGTGAAAGCACCACCAACTTTCAAAAGTGACCAATACATAAACCAGAAAGTGAACTCCTCACCTGCAGAAGCACTACTTTATTGAGTGTCTTGCTAGTTGCCAATCCTTTTTGGACAGATTTTTTTTCATGGAAGTTTGATTTAATATAAGTTTTATTATCTTGTGTATGTGTCCCCACTATTTTTTAAGCAGTGTATTTAAAAAAAAAACAACTAAAATGTGATTTGCTGGATTTTTGGCTATGTGGGGGTCTGAAACAAAGCTCAATGAAGTTCTGCAGATAAAACAAAATAATAGTTCAGCCATGTTAAGCAGGAATTATATGGGAACCTGTTAACATTTCAGGAACATGTTAGATACATTTTACTTTACATGTTTAAGAAGCGGAGATGATTAAGGTCAATCGTGTGGGTGATTCTCTACAAATTAAGAATGACTAATCATATTCATCAAATGTGCGTTACAATGAAAGTGGACTTGTACTTTTTATCCATTGTTTAGGCATCAGTGGGCAGCTTGGAGCACCCAGTGTTTCACCACTGAAGCAAAGAAAAGCAGCATACGTGCATGGAGGTTGCATATTCAATTCAATTCAATTAAAAATACTTTATTAATCCCAAAGGGAGATTAAATGTTGCTCTAACTCATAAGTTATTTCCTAAGCAGGTGTTGTAGGTGTTGATAGCTGAGGGCAGGAAGGATCTTCTGTATCTTTCCTACATTTTCCATTTTGATTGGGGAGTGGCGGCCTAGTGGTTAGAGCATTGCAATTTAAATCCAGAGGTTCTGAGCTCAAGCCCCACTCCCACGGTCTGACACTCTGTGTCCCTGAGCAACACCCTTAACCCCACACTGCTCCCCTGGCGCCGCACAGTGGTAGCCCACTGCTCCCCAAGGGGACGGGTTAAATGCAAAGAGTTCATTTCTTTGCTTTTGACCATGTAATGACAATAAAAAGCTGGAAAGAAAAATAATTAGGATTTACACTAACAGCATAATGCCAGTACATATCTACCCCTTTTTTTGTGCTAAATTATGTTGATGTTTGATTTTAGAGGTGTATGTGTTCCCATTTGGAAAAACAATATCTTGTGTCAAAATTTCAAAAATAAGAGTTGAAATTACTTGAAATTGTATATAAACAAACTTAAGAATGTGATTCCTAATTAGCAGTTTTGGACACTTAGGTCATCGAAATGTGGGGAATATTACTGGTAATTCAATGAATTTACCTGTGTTTGCTGCGCTGCAGGGGATTTTGTAGTCACAGCGGCCAACTGTCGCTACCCGACAGCAACAAATATCAAAGATGGCACAGGCACCTTGTGAGGAGGCAGAGTCACGTGACCAACGGGGGGAAAAAGTAGTGATCATCTGTCCGAACGATCCGTTAACTATAGAGTTCACTATAAGGTCCAATATATTAGCTTCGCTCTATATTGTGATTTAGGGATTTAAACACTAGACCACTCATATTTATTTCTCAGTAGGACCACAGCAAATTTTCTCTGTGAATTACGGAGTTTTAAACTTTTCTCTGGTTAGCTGGTTAGATGTCTAATAGGATCTGTTAGCATTGACCTAACTGCCTCCTTCTTGCCTCCAGCTCTTCTCCATCGTTATCCTGGGATGTGTTGCTAACGAGGGCTATGTCAACCGCCCTGAGGAGGTGGAGGAGTACTGCATCTTCAACCGCAACCAGAATGCCTGTAACTATGCCGTTGCCATGGGAACACTGTGTTTCCTCTGCAGTGCAGGTTTCCTGGCCCTGGATGTATATTTTCCTCAGATCAGTGGAGTGAAGGACAGGAAGAAGGCTGTCATGGTGGACATCGGGGTGTCTGGTAAGATCCCACCAGCCCTGCTTTAGTTCACTATTGATTTCATCATATAATGTGCATTTTCTCTCCACAGCGTTTTGGTCTCTCATCTGGTTTGTGGGTTTCTGCTTTCTGGCCAATCAGTGGCAGTTTTCTAAACCTGAAGACAACCCTCTCAACGAAGGTGCCGACGCCGCCAGAGCCACCATCTTTTTCTGCTTCTTCTCCATCTTTACCTGGGTATGCAGCTGAGCAGATTCGTTCTGCTGCCACCTGTTGGTCAGACAGAACCAATGTTTTTAGTAACATATTTTCTCTCTTTTGTATTTTTAAGTATTGCACTAGAAGTTTAAATTTTACAAGGACATTTTCAGCTCAATTTAAGTTTACCTTTTTATTAAAAATATTAATTAGCTTAATGGGAGGTCTAAACACATTTTCAGGGTATGTTCTTGGGTACCAAGAGAGATCACCTGTTTCCCATGCTGGCATAGATTATGTCACCCTCAGTAATCGAGTTGAGGGGGGATGGCCTCCCCCTTCTTAAAAAAATATAAAAAATCATCCCCTTCTTAAAAAAAAGACAACTTGATTTGAGAGGAATTTCCGCAGGTTCCAAGTTCTAAGTTGCCAAGATCTCCCTCCCCTGCTTAGTTTGAGAAATAACGTGTTTATAATTATGCAAGGTTCTCCACATAATCATACCTGCTCTCTGTGATTGTGGTGTGAGTTTCATAAGTCTGGGACAATAAATGTGAAAATAAGGAGGGGAGGGAATCTTCTGCAGGTTCCAGATTCTACGTTTAACAAATAAAATCTTAGAAATGATCTAGAATGGTGCTGAGAGCGCAATCAGGAATTGGCATCCATAATTTATTCATCTCACATCGACTGAAACTTGTCTCTATTTAAGTAAAATCCTATTAATTTGATTGTATCTGTTATTCAAAATTATCCATTTTAAGGCATTCATGTATAAGAAAAATTAAATCATTACGAATATGTTTGAAATGTACCTTTTCGATCATATTTCAATCTGTTTTGTCATCAATGTGCGGGAGTTTAGGGCGATGCACGCTCCCCTGCAGGGGAAGTAATTCTGGTAATTTCTTGTGTTTACAAAGCCGTACAAATTAGTTTATTTCTCATATGGGGACTTCCTGCTACTACCTTTTTATTAAAACCACTTATATGCTCTGTTCGAAATCCTGGGACGCGTCCTTAGAAGGCCAGATTTGAAGGCCGATTACGTCATAGCGCGGCGCCGAGGTCTGGTCAGATTCCAAGAGTCCTCGTTATGCAACCTTAAAATGCGTCCTTCTTTTTGCCCGATTTTGAAGGATGGGTCCGATGTATCCTCGGTATTCTTGGATATCCCAGGATTTATTGCGAAACCAAGCAAGCTGTGATTTGCTCCGTGATCAGAGGAAAGGTTACTTGTCGCAGAACAGTGGTGAAAGTTGGAAGTTCAGTTTAATATAATACAACTCTGTGAATAGTTCCGTCTGAAATGAATGAAAATAGTTGTTTTAATGGTTATAGAGTCAGATATGTGGCGGTAATGTTTGGTTTATCTAAAGGTTTTATCTGTTACTGTTTAAATGAGTTCAGCTGTAATTTCAGGACAGATTCTAATATATCTGCAGGGTGGGGACTATAAATCTGATTGGATTTAAATTTTTCTATTGCTGTTTTTCACAATATGCTTAACTAAGTATTTTTTGTTGTTGAATATTAGAGATTTTGCAGATATATATATTTTATACATACATTTTTTAGATTGACTTATATCTTTCTACCCCTTTTATAGAATAGAATAGAAAATCCCTTTATTGTCCCACAATGGGCAAATTTACAGCAGCAGAAAGATTATTGAAAATGGTCACACAAATGAGGACCTTAGAGAAATGTATAAGAATAACATAATAGGGAAGAGTTAAAATATAAACAATAAAATACTGTAAAGTGTTTTAACAATATAAAACTGGAGAATAAATAACCAATATGCAGCTATGGACATTTTTCCAGTAATGGATATTTGAAAATAGCAGCAACATCAGAGATGTGCAGAATGACAGCAGCAGGTTATTTAACTGACTAAGGTTTCTATCATTACATTTGATTTTATTTGTTCCTGCTCCCGGTGGTTGGAACCTTTATTCCACTCTGGATTCTTGTTAATGTAGTCTTTGTTCACTTTAACTTTAAAAAATAAATAAATAAACAAACAGTTTTGAAAACTTCGGTTTTCTTTTTTTTAATTCCTGCTTTGTGTGTCAACTTTCACGGTTGCTAAGCAACAGAGTGTACGGCAGTAAAACCCGCCGAAGGGTAGACCTGTTAGAATTCACAGCCAAAACTTTTCCGGCCTCCTTATTTTCACGTACTTGGAAGGATCCAGTCTAGGTAGACCGCGTCCTTGCAGGATGCAGCCCAGGATTTTGAACAGAGCCATATTGTCAACTTCCGATGACGTTAATTCTCTCCAAATTAAAGAACAAATTTTGTTTACTTTTTTAATGTCTTAAAATTTGAATGACAGATGGAGTCAAAGCAAATGTTTTTTTGGGTTCCATCTGAATCACTGTGGTTCTGGTTATCTCTAAGCGAAGGCCTGGTTTGTTAATGGCAGGTTACACAAAGAAAGTCTAACTTATCTTTGTTTTGATCCCTCTATTCATTCATATATCACTGGTTATTAACTTCAGCTTTTTGACAATGTAGTGCTTCATATCGGTGTTCTTAAATCTTTATCATAGAAAGTTTTTAAATTATAAAATGATCATTTGTATCACATGCCAGAACTGACACATTTCCTCTTTTTGTTTTCCTCTATGTTTGTATTTGTTATCTTATGGGTTTATATCTCGTCTCCGTCTGATGTGTCTGATGCTCTCTGTCCTGCGGATCTGCTCCGTGATGTTATTCTGTTACCGTTCCATGTTTTTATTTATTTATTTTTTATTTTGTGGTGTTTTTTCTTGCCCTGGTTTGTTCTTGTATGTTTTTTTTTGTTTTGTTTTTTGTGCATTATGCATTCTGTTCTGTGTTCATGCATGTTCATAATCTTTATATTCATGCGTCGTTGCTTAACATTTCGTCTCGTTATTCTATGTTTATCCTTTGTTCCACGCTGTGACACCATTTTCCGTGTTGTTCCATGTTGTTGTCTTGTGTTCCATGTTTTTCCATGTTCCGTTGGCTTCCATCTTGTTCCTTGTTGCTCTTCGTTCCGTGTTGTTATCCCTATGATCTATGCAGGGAGGAGTCAGTCTGCTGTCTTTGGAGCGTCTCAAGAGAGTCTCGTATGAAGAAGAGTACAACAAACTGTTCACGCCTCCTCTTTCTTGAAACAAAGCCTCACCTTTTCCACACAGCCAATCGGGGACAAGCATTTTTACACATTAATTTCTCCGTTTGGTCGGTCACCTCAAGCGCCTGTTATACAAAAGTGCCTTCTTGTTGCTCCAGCAACAGAAAGATTTTCTCGCAAGATGCTTAAGATCAAATCATGAACTCTGAATGTAAAGCTGGATGCTGATTTTTACCACAGAGACAGTATTCTTAAACGCAGTGTGCAAGCAGAGCAGTCGCCCCATGGCGGTAAAATGAATGCATGTTAAAGGATCCACTAAGTTGAAGGCTGTGTCCGAATGTCCGCTCTAACCGCTGTCTAGAGCACTTTATAGGGGTTACGCCATGTTTAATGAGTGTCCAATTGTCTAGTGGATAAAAAAGGTACCTGGAAAAGTGCAGATATATCCCAGAATGCTTTCCAAGAGCTCAAAAGAACAAAGATGGTGCAGGCACAGAGCAGAAGAAAAAAATAATAATGATAATACATCCAGAATCAGAATTACTTTATTAATCTCTTGCAGTAGATTCTTTTCTTGCAGCGCAACTGTTTATAGGGGAGATACGAATAAGATTTTAAGTATAATGGAATTAAATAATGTTAAAAAATATAATAAGACAGAATAAAATCAGTTTTCTGAGTTCACTATAAAGTCCACTATATAGTCTTCACTCTATATAGTGGTTGAGGGGTTAGGGCGGAAGTTGGGACACAGCAGAAGTCTGAACTACACAGCAGGAACTTCAATCTCATGCTGACAGACGTTACCTCACTGGAAAAAATGGAAATCTAGATGACTCTTTTTTTCTTAAAATAAGTGCATTTGTTCTTGGATTGAGGAGGTAAAAGAGAAATTTGGCCAATGGAACAAGACCATTTACACTTAAAATAGGAAAACACAACCGCATTGTCTTATTTAAAGTGTATGTTATCTAATTATCTTATTTTAAGAGTAAAAATAATCATTCTTTTGGCAAACTAGCTCATTTACAAACTCAAATTAAGGGTAAATATACTTAATATAAGGAATTTTTACTTAGTTCTAGATTGTTTCTCCAGTGCTGTCCCTGGCACTGTGAGAACTAATGTATGGAAACGTCAAAAGCTTTTGAAGAAGTTTTGTTTTCTGAGAAATATCTGAAATTCTGCATCTGGTTGATGGGTAAAATTAAGGTCTAGTAAAATGATCTGAACAGAACCTTTGCTGCTGGACAGGGAGAGCCTCGTCTGTAACTGATGAAGCCTCTAACTGAGACAAATTTAAATTTTCTCCTGCTTCTGTTTTTCCAACCAGATTATCTGTGCAGGGCGGGATCACCGTTTGTGGTTCCTCATCTATAATCCTGTTTGCTCCACCTGGTTTACCATGAGCTGAACTGATGTATTAAACCTGGCTAAGTGCTGAGCGGGTAGATGGTTTGGTTAGAGCAGATAATCAATCATAACCAGGTTAGGCGCAGCCTGCTGTGTGGTCAGACCTCATTCATCCTTACTGTCTGTAACATGTTGATGGTATGATTCTGTCATGAGTGTTCTGATGTAATATGACAATTAAACAACTGTACAGTTTAGCCGTGTGCTGACGTAACATCCTAAAAGGAAGTATACCTGGTGTCAGGCCTGGGGGCTGTGGAAGAGTAGATCTGTGTGGATGTTAAAGTTAAAAACTACTACTACTACCTTTAATCACCACCAGGTGTCGCCAGTTCCCCATCTTGTAATAATCCAAACATCTTCAGACACATTGTTTAACTGGTTATTAGTGTTTCTCGGTCTGGCCCATCAGAACAACATCCATCCAGCGGGTTGAGGTCGCCCTGCTGCTGCCAGTAGCAACCGATCCATCCAGCTGTGAACTGCATTGACTAAAGAACCTGAGCTGTTTTAGCAGATCCAGAATCATGTCCCTTGGTTGGTTCTGTCTGGCTCCTGCTCTTCTATCTGAGTGAGGTGTAGTTTCAGCCATGCTACTAACCACTCCTTCTGGTTGTAGTTCTGATATGTTCGTCCTGCTCCTGATATCCTCGCCGTGTTTTTGTTGTGGTCTGGATTCCTTTTTTCAGAGCAGGAATTTTACCTTGAATCTTAGACACTTTGTGAATTGGAGAAAGTTCTTCACAAGGTTTATAATTATAGAACATTCATATTTCATTGTTTTTGACTGTTCCAGACTCATATTCCAGGGTCCAGATAGGTCGATCCAAATGATCTAAAAGGTTGTGTACCTGAAGTCTGGTTTATGCTCAGAAACCAGGTTGTCTGCGTGTGTGTCGCAGTTAACGCAGATACGCCTCCGCCTTCCGCAGCCCTCTGGTGCACCTCCCCAAAATTGTAGGTGACCACAGGCATTGCCCCAGATAGCGTTGCACGGAGGAGAGAAAGGAGGCCTCTGATTGGTCAATTCTAAATCCGCTCTACACTATGTGTATTTCCTGTTTGGTACTTAATGGCAGAAACTCTGGCTGTAGTGCCGTCCGCAACTCCTGGCACACCTTGGACACTATCCCAGACACCGTACAGGACACTAGTTTTTAGCTCTGTGTCACGGTCTGTTGGTTTTGCACCCAAAGCTAAAATATGGCGTTGGATGAGGGGGTTGTGGACGCAAACAAGCTTGTCAAACCGACACACGGACACCCACAATCCTAGCTAGATCGTGATTGTCCCTCTTGCGTTGTGGAATGGCATAGCACACTTCTTAGAACCTTCTCCAAGACGTTCCTGTTGACTTGTCTGGGAGTAAGGATAAACGGTGAGACCTGTCTCTGCATATGAACTCTGGTTTCTTCTCATATCTATGCATGTTGTAACCCCCCTCCTGCTTGTAGCTGTTCTGATTTTTTTTTTTTTTTTACAAAAAGCCACCTCTGGGTTTTCTGTGACATGCTAACATTGTTTGTGTATCTTTCCTTTAACTTGTTAACATTCATCATGTTGATATCACATGTTATAGAACAAAGTGACCTGGCAAACCACACTGATAATGTGTTGCAGTCAGGTTTAGTTCAAGAAATGATCAATCAAGGACTGCTCCAAACTAATTTGTTCAGGGAAAGGAGAGACATTCGAGTGCCCATCTACCAAATTTTTGTTTTTGGCCAATCACCGAAACTAAAGCAATTGCTGCAGATTTCATGCGAAACCACAAAAACTAACCCTTTTATGCTCTTTGTCTTAATCTTTGAAAGACGACGTCATAGATTCAGACAAACAATGTGTTAGCAGCCACCTGCACTGCCATGTCTGTTTTAGTTCCAGTGTCTTGCTTTCATCACAGCTTTATGTCCTATTTAAATCACAATATTATAACGTGATTGGACGACCCAACGTGATGGGGGAGTGTTGGTCTAGCGATGGGGAGTGTTGATCAAGTGGTTAGAGCAGTGCGCTTAAACTCTGAGAAAGTTGCAAGTACCCTGTTCGATCCCCACAGCCTCCACTCTGGGTCCCTGAGCAAGACCCTTAACCCCACACTGCTACCCGGGCGCCACACAATGGCAGCCCACTGCCCCCCCAAGGGGATGGGTTAAAATGGGAGATTTAATTTTGTTGACAGTGTAATGACAAAGTTAAGTTCTATTTTATTCTACTCTATTTTAGGTCCGTTTGAAACGGCCTGAAGAGAAATCAGGACAGGATGGATTCTCATGTGTTTGTAAATGAAAATGTAGCTTGTAGGCAAGTTAACAAGGTAGGGAGATGTGTAACAAAGGGACATAAAAACATCTTTCATGACATGTTGGTCATGTTGTTATACTTTACATCTCCAACCCATGGTCCTAACATTTTAATATGTGAATTCAAACATGTTAACATCTATTACATTCTTCTGACATGAAAAATCTTAACATGTTCTTCCTAACTCAATAATCTGTCACATTCTTCTCATGATAACGCTTCATTGTGAGGATTTAAAATTTTTACTCTGCTCTTTTTAACATGTCAATGCGTTAAGCTCATTCCTAATTATTGGCCCGTTGTTAATTTTTCACGTTTTAACCACGTTGTCTGTTTTCCCGTAATGTTTTGTTCCCATGTCCTCTCTGATTCGTTCCTACGTGACGCTGTGTCGTCCTGTGTGTCTGCAGGCTCTCCAGTCTCTGCTGGCCATTCACAGGTTCAAACATGGAGCCGACACTGTCATCTTCAACCAGGACTACGTCGACCCTGAGCAACAGGAGTCTGCAGAGGCTTTTCCTACATATGAGTAAATCCATGGCCATGTGACAGCCAGGGGCGGGGCTTGAACTTTGTACAAAAAATGTCAGGATTCAGTTTTTTTACACTTTGAAACAAACTGTTTAGTTTGATGAAACTCATCTGTCTCAGAAGACAATCGAAGCTCAGAAAGCTGGAAGATATATATCTTTTTTACTACAAAATGTGTAAATCAGTAGATCTTTTATACCAGTGATCCAAGAGGCCAGCCAATGGTGTCTGTGTGAGATCAATATCTGGGACGCACAGACTTTCTTACACTTAGTGCAGAAAACGTTCACAATGAAAGCCTAGGAATCATTTAGTAATTCTACCAGCAGGAAAAAAAAAACCATTTCTTAAGAATTAATATTTTGCTTTACTTAGGAGTTGTTCACTACGGAAGCCGAGAGCGGTCGTGTCCCTCAGATGTTTTTTCACGGTGGTTTTCTAATTGAAAACGAAAGCTGTTTTCTCGTGATAATGAGATGATTTGTGTTTGTTTAACCTGATTACATCCTCCTATACCACAATAGCGGGAGAGGATTTATAAGTCATGGCAGCCTATTTGTAATTCTGTAAATGATCCTGTGTTTAACGTTTAGGTAATGAGAAGACGTTGTTGGTTTGATGATTTGCTCCCACTTCTGAGTCATAAGCAATTAGACCTATGCCTCCAGCGCTATAGCATCGGGTGTTTTCAGAACAGCCCCAGTGTTATGCCTGTAACAGGTATAAGATGCATTAAACCCCCCAAAACGGGTCCTGATGAAAGATTTTAAAAACAGTCAGATTTGTTTCTACTGTATTCCATGCATCCAATCATCCACCACGACCTGACTATGAGTGAAAAGAAATAGGAAATTAAAAAAAATATGATCTGCGCATACGCGGTACCACGACTGCACAACTACGGGCACAGCAGGCATGAATGGACTGGAAATCCAGGACTGTTGGCCAGGCTCATTCATTACTCATACAGGTTCATTCTGATTATCTTGAGAAATCAATATGTCAGGATTTGGTTATGGAGTGTTGACCCAAAAACAGAGGCAGGAAGGCAGAGGTGAATTTCTTTAGATTTAATTAAAAAGGGAAGCTGAAAACAAAGGCAGGTTATCCAAAAATCCAATATTGAAAACGAAGTCCAAACTAGCATGAAATCAGAAGTCCAAAAATTCAAAAGAATCAAACATAAAAACGAGTCAAAACGAACCAGAAACCATGGAGACGTCAGGGGAATCACTGTCACAACGAGGAAGACTCAGGAAGACGGAGTTGGAGGAAGTTTGACAAAGTTTGGCAGTGTTTGACGAGGACCCAGCAAAGGGGAACTGAAGAGAGAGGGCTTTTAAAGGAGACTGAAGCAAAGAGGGGGCTAATGAGGAAACTGGGAGCAGGTGTGCACAGAACAAGAGGGAAAGAGCTAGGGAAGAAGGAGAACACAAGAGGGCAGCAGAGAGCAACAAATAGAAACCTGGAAGACTGGAAATAACACAATGTTAAATTACTAGGACTATAAAACATGGAGAAAAAAAAAACTAAACACTCAAAAGAAAACATAACAGAACCAAGACTAGGACAGTAACTGGAAAAAAACAAAAAAACACAGCAAAATAAAAAGAAAACCACTAACACTAGAAAACAAGGAGTAAAGCAAGACTGAATACTATAACAGAAACAGAAACCTGACACAATAACTGTTTTCTTGTGATAACGAGATAATGATCTCGTTATCACAAGAAAACAATTCATTGTTAAGCCACGATAAGATAGTTATGTCATTATCTTGAGAGGGCAAAGGGGGGGGGGGAGTTGAGTACGACCGCTCTCGGCTTCCATAGTTAACAATTCCGAAGATTTTAATAAGTGTCCTCTTTTTTAAGCCTCACAAAAGTATTTCCAAAAAAAAGATGGGTGTTTTTTTTTCTTTTTTCTTTTTTTTACCAATTTCGATCTTATTGCAGCAGGAGCTAAGAACCTATGAACATATAATTTTTTTCTTAATTCTTCTCTCCAAACTTGCTGTACAAGTACATAAATTATAAACCAAAACTGTGGACTAAACATTAACTTTAATGTGTCAAGTAAAATGAGCAATAATATGAGCCCCCCCCCCCCCCACGCCCTCCAAGTGTATATTTTGTGGACTAGAGAAAAGAAAATAATGAAAAACCGTCTTAAAGGACAAATGTGTTTGTTTGGAGCCTCTTTTCTTGTGTAAAGCAGCTGTTCTAAGGCACAGCGCCTCCTGCTGTTCAGCAGCTCCTATTTTCTAGTGAGACAAGATGTTCTTTGTAATTCATGGTGCTTTAATCTGTGGCTATAACTGTATTAAATGATGAGCTGTGTGTTTTATTTTCGTCTATCAGCA